AAGCAATAAGCCCTCGGTCCTGCACAGATGTGATTATCTCTGCTGGCCAACATGTTGATAAGACATCATTGACTTCAGATAACCTATTACTCTGCATGCCCTGCTTTTGTTATGTGTCAGTTTATTGCAAAGACGTCATAGAAGGATAAAAGGAGGATAAAAGAAGAGGCATCCACTCATGCTGATGCTGCATTTGTGTCACATGGGATGGTGCTCATTAAAAATAATAGAAATATTATAGATTCTATGTGAGGAAATTAGATTGTCATGTGTTTATTTGAGCTTGTTGTTTGACAGATCGCCATGGTTACATTTGGTGACTGGCTGACCATCAGTGACTCCAAAAACAGACTCATTGCATCGACCACTATGTTTATGGGAAGTATTCCTCTTTCTTATTTTAGCACCACACAGAATGCAATTTAACACTTAATTACTGCAACACTGACCGAATAATAACAGATGAGTGATTAGAGCCACTAAATGAAATTTTTCCCACCCGTGTGACACAAATTCAGCAGAAATAAGGAGGAGGAGCCTGGGCAGAAAGAAGGCAGAGCTTGCAGGTGTCACGGTTACGTCAGCTCGGTCCAACTATAGGCCACGAAGAGCAGAACAAGGCAGAGGATGTGAACTAAGCTCGAACCAATAAGGTCCCAGATCTGCCAGGCAGGAGGCGGAGTTTGAGTGGTTACAGAAACTAATAAGGGAGTCTCTGATGCCCCAGGGGAAGTGGGGTTTGCAGCTGAGATTGCCTCCTCCCGTTTCCTGTCTGGATCCAAGGCAACCAGCGCCCGAACCGTGGTGCGAACCGGCTGCAGGCGGCACTGGATGATGTCATAAGGTGAGCAGAGGGACGACTGTTGCCCCCATTAGGAAGAAAGGAGGGAAGAAATGAGGAAGTGAATGAGGAAGGAGGAAAAATAGTGGGAGAAGTTGGAAGAGAAGGAATGAAGGGAGCAAAGATGGGAAAGATGAAGTAGGACAGAGAAGAAAGAGAAATATAGGGCAATAAAATGGAATGTGTGATGAAACAAATGAGAGAATATGATGGAAAGGTAAAAGACACGAGGAGGAAAAAAGGCAACAAGTGAAGGAAAACATAAGTGTGTAGATAAAAAAAATGGATTGAAGTTTGAGAAATGAGAAAAAGGTTAAATATTCTCCACAAAAAGCAAGAAGGTTGATGAGAAGAAGAAGACAAGGGAAAGGAGGAGGGATACGTGGTGCGATCCAGCCGGAAAGTAAAAAAGAGAAAAGGCAGAAGGTTAACCAATGGATACAGACGTCAAAGGTCACAGAGTGAAGGAGCTGGTGGTGAGGCAAGCAGGGGAAGGAGGGATGCTTACTGAGAGGATGGCTCAGAACCTCTGCAGAACCCTTTGTCCTCCCAGTAAGCAGTCCAGTGATGAAGAGGTGAGGTGGCTAATGGGAGAGCCAGTGCAGCAGGCCAGCGCATTAGCATAGAAGCTGTTAGCACGTAAGCGCAGGGAAGCTTTGCAGAAGCGTTACTAGTAAAGCAGTCAGGCTGCAGCTTAAATGGCGGCTAGCGAACACAGAGGCCAGAAAACAGCCAGCAAGCAGAGATGGAGGTCAAAAGGTCAAGGCAGGTTAAACCTTTGAACTTTAATTTTCTAACAGATAAGAGAGCAAAAAAACAAACCTAAAACAAACACACAGATATCAACATAACATCAAATAAAAAAAAATCAAACTACCAATCATAAAGTGTAATAAAATAACCAATTAACCCTGACACGTCTCACACATGCTGCTGTTTACTTTTTTGCATTAATGCTAGATTGCAGAAAAAACAATCTAATGTTTGCATTTCCCCTAATAACCTGCACCCTTGAGCAGCACCGTGTTAAAAATCCGTACTCCTGTTTCTCTTAAACTGGCAAATGGAGCCTGTGAATGTGACCTCAACTCTAGATCTGTAGCAGTTCTACCTCTAAAGCCAGTCTTTTTCTGTTTCTACAGCTGCAGAAAAGCAGAATGAGTAGTTTTTCTTGCTTTCCTTGAGACTGATCTTGCTTTGCAGTATGAAGCTACAGATAAAAACTGGAAACAAGCAGAAACAGCCAGCCTGGATGAGTATAGTGGTAACAAGGTCCGCCTGCCAGGTAGCCTTGAACTATAGGTGTGCTGGGATGTAACAGCAGGTGTACCCCTCTGTGTTTACTTTTCTTTCCTGACTGTAGACTTTAATTCTGCACAGCCTGCTGGGAAACATAAGTACCTTGGTAATGACCCAGGTCTTTGGACTAATGCTGCATTATAGTTGTCCATGATCTCATTTCCACAGCACACATTTCAAACATTTATTGTTATATAAAATTATAGGAATCTAGCAAAAGCGAGCCTAAGTTTTCTCTTCTACAATTATTTGCAGTTGAGATGTTGTAAATGTTGCCCTCCCCTAATTTTGATTGGTTGATGAGTGACAAAGGACAATGGAGAGACAGCGGCATTTCAAATGCTGAGCTATTTTCAACCTAATAAGGTATAATCGGCCTTAATAATAAGGAAGACCGTGAGTGTCAAAACTCAACTTCACATAATTTGAATAAAAAATGAAAGCACAAAAATATGTTTCCTATGGAGACCCAAAATGCATACGAAACAGCTGCCAAAATGACAAACTGATGTTTTTCCTCAGAAAAAAAAAGGTCATCTGTGTACAGTCTTTATGCTATCATAAGCTAACCAGCTACTGGCTTTAAGTTAGTCATTCACCATAAGGTGGCAGCACTTTAACAAAAGGTTTTGGGGTAGCTATCCACAGGTTGCAGTCTTGAAAGTTGACTTTTATGCCATCTTGGTATTTGACCTTAGTAACTTCGTGTTACTAAGACCTCAGTCACAGACCTAGAGAGCAGTCAGTGACCATCTGCCCAGCTTTCAGTTGCTAGGGAAAAATGTGTTTGCTGGCAGTTGCCATGAAATCAGTTCCTAAGTCCTCATTCTAAAAGGCCAGTTAGTGATTCCCCCTGGTATCCACTGGTTGCTAGACAAGAATGTGTATTCTTCAACAAGTTGGCAAGTGGTTGCTAGAGTGTAACATAAAAGCTGCTCCTTTTGAAATGCATCTGCTGCAGAGGTAAGGCACAACTCTTACTTTGAAGGCAACTGTTTTTGGGTTCGAATTTGAAGACTAAAAGGCAGACAGGTTGGTGTCTTCCATCAATCTAAAGGCAACTGCAGCCATCCACCAGCAAACAAAGCAATCACAAGGGTTTCAGAGCACCCTGTTTGCAGTTGATGTCAGCCTGCAGCCACTTCTAAACCAGTCAGGGAATACACAGTTCTCTCTAGTGACCTAGTTTCGATCTGGTCACTAGAAAAAAAACTGTTGCCCGAGGCTGAAGGCTAACCTGAAAAATGTTGGAATGTCTCAAGGGGGTATTGAGCCAATACCACTAAAGCAGGGGTGGGCAACTCCAGGCTTCGAGGGCCAGTGTCCTGCAGCTTTTAGATGTGTCCTTGATCCAACACAGCTGATTCAAATGGCTAAATTACCTCCTCAACATGTCTTGTAGTTCTCCAGAGGCCTGGTAATGAACTAATCATTTAATCGAGGTGTGTTGACCCAGGGTGAAATCTAAAACCTGCCCTCGAGGCCTGGAGTTGCCCACCCCTGCACTAAAAGGGTCTGAGCACCATCTTGTGTTTCAAAGAGATATTACACAAGAGTGTATCTGGAACCTACTCCAGGCTGATATGGACTCGGCAGACATCTCTGTAACACGACACACAGACACACTTCATAGTGTTTGTCTCTTCACATTCTCACTATAGTTTAAGTTTATTTTGAAAAGGGCTTCAATTCCTTTTAAGGCGTTTCAAGCGATTTTATTTTTTATAAAAAGTACCATCAAGTGTGCATTTAACATCTAGCTCATCACTGTGCACACTGCTGAACTTTCACTTTAAATCTGTGTTATTATTATTTTTTATTTTCAGAATCCACCACACAGGGTCTATGAACAAAAACCTGCATGAAACATCATATGTTCTCAGTCTGGACAACACTCCTTAAATCAGTGCAGAGGTGGAAAGTCAAATCTGAACTTCTACAAGTGTGTTCACGCACAAGGAGTAAACACAATCAGCCCAGCATGCTCTGCACCAGACTGGAGCTGCCACTTTGACTTCTGTCATGATGGAGGAAGCTGTAAGCTGCAGGCAGCGATGACAGCGGTGATGAGTCAGCATTGTTGAAGTTAAACGACCCCATTAGACAGCCAAAAAAGACAAAAAGAACAAAAAGGAGGCAGAAAGGATATTTAACCAGCCGTGGGAAAAAGCTGAGTGGTTTTCAAGTTTTTGTAAGATTTGGGTTCAACCTGTGTCAGACTGCTCTACTTATTGTTCAGTGGCATAAAGGTAAAAAAATAATGCAATTGTGTTATCAGTTCTAACTGCTCAAGGATGACATTGCAAAAAGTTGCTTTTAGACACACAGAACCATCAGCTTTCCTTCCATGTCTGGTTTATAATTTAGTGTCTGGCAAAAATCTTTAATTGTAGTTTTCACCTCACTTTCTGATATAAATTACAAGGAAATGGAAGGTGCCAATGCTACAGTGTCATTAAAGTAAAATCATAGCCCTAATGCTGAAGAGATCTGATTTTTGCAGGACACTTCTTTTGACTTATTGTGTCAACAACAAGCCAACAACCCATTGAATCAGGCTGAAATGGACTCAGTTGGGAGTTTCTCTGAAGAACTGGGGGCGTTTTCAGGTTGGAGGTTGCTGGTTTAAATCCCAGCACAGGCTTAGAAAATGTCCTTCAGCAGCAGTGGGGCTGCACAGTAGCCATCATGGTATTACCTGATAACTGCAGCGTCAGACAGACTCAGACTCTGGGTGTGTAATAACTGATTAGACTTTAAGTAGGTTTTGGAAGTCATTCAACTTGAAATCCGCCCCCAGTTCAGACAGGCCATGGCTTCTAGTAAAGGTGTTATTAATGTACAAAGATGCACTTCTTACCTCTGGTACGCCTATTTTTCTACAGGCATCCAGAAAGTTCTCCACATTCCTCCGACACTTGGCCATGCTGAGTTTGGGCTGGAAGACAAATATAACAACTTACTGAGCTACACTTAGAAACACAACTTTGTATTTTTTACACTTTAAAGGGGATATTGGGAAACTGAACGCTCATCCAGTGATTATGCGAAGGGTCAAAGGTTGCAACTGTCAGTGAGACGTACCACTGCAGGTGAGGGGACGTGGATGCTGGCGACAGAGCGTGGGCGAATGTGATTGGCCAGATGGCAGAGCACGACGCCGTCCATCAGAGACGAACCAAGGTCTTCAGGAAGGACGACCTTCAGTCTGCTCTCGATGCTCTGAGCAAACAATGCAAGCAGCTTTGTGTGAGTAAAAAGGACTGGATCGCAGTATCATACAGTGAGAGAAAACAGAATCAGACATCCTGATGATATCGTCCAAAACAAACCTCCATAAACTCACTTAGATGACTGAAAATCTGAATTTGCCCGAAAACCGTAGCTTTGATGGGGTCAAGCTCAAAGATGCAGTTACTGAATGTTTGAGTGTTTTCTTTTGCGCTCCAAATAGCACAACTCTGAGTCACAGTAAACCTGAACGCATCACATTCAGTGTGGCAAAACACAATGCAAAGTGGGAGATTAGTTTAGCTCTGGGTTCCTTCACATGAAAAAAAAAAAAACGAACCATAAAGAAACAGAACAGGACTTCCCTGACAGCTGGCAGGCTTTAAAGTTTTCTTTAGTTTAAAGGTTAACTAGTTACAACCATCCTTAAGTCTGTTGGTTACATCACATTCCAACATACATTTGACTTACATGCAGGCCACATACAGCCCTTTCTGATCCCAAGAGGCCAAACTAAAAGTGCCAAAAACAAGCCCAATTTCAGTAGCATGTTTCAGTTTTCCTACACAAAGACATACTGCTGCAGTGCATGAAAGAAACCTGTAAGCACGACTCTTTTACAGAGAAAGTTCTGGTAGCACACTGTCCATCTGTCACGTACCTACAGTGGGTAGTAAGAAAACAGGAACTTTTGTGTTATTTAATTACTTATCTATCATTTTATTACTTTTGGTGTAGTATAAATGGCTATGTGGGAGGTCTTTACAAGTAGCAAAAGTTGTAAAACTAAAGATACAGTTAAAAGTCCAAAGTTCATGCCCTTCTTCATAATTTTCCAAAGCCATTCAATGCATTTATTCAGTGTGTTTTCCGGTCTGATTTTATGTTTGAGACCTGTGGCTTACAGAAACAAATATATGTCTAAAGAAAACGTCCAGGTCATTTGATGCACTTGTCATAAATATAAAGATATAATTGTATATTATTACCATCATCATTATTATTATTATATAACATATATTCTTACATCTTTGCAATTTTCATTCAGTGAGATTTCACTGAGCTGATAAAATGCTGAGCTAAGAAAACAAAACAACAAACAAAACCCTGTGGTTCCATGCAGAGCGTCAGACTTATTTTAAATCAGAAGAGGAGCTCTGGGTTTATGATCCAAATCTGCAGTTAAGATACAATGAAGGCTTTTATGGAGACAGATATTTAGTCTGGCCAGGGTGAAAACCTGCTTAACCTCAGTCATGCAGGCTGGATACGTTTGACATAAGCTCATATCAGATCTATAACACCCCACCCCCCACTCAAATAATATAAAAAAATAAAAGAACATTAGCTTGTCTCACATCTCTCAGCTGCTCCATGAGCTCCAGTTCCTCCCGCAGCTGCTCCATCTTTCTTCTCATGGTGAACTGAGGATCCACAGACTCCAGGCTCTTGTGGCTCCGCAGGAACACTGCAGCAACAACAAAAGAAAATGGAACATAACACATTAAGCATCTGCAGGAGTACACAGTTAGTACCAGTTAGAGATAAAACAAGGACAGCAGACGTCTGAGGAAGGAGAGATTTGCCGTGATGAGCAGAGACTGAAAAGCTGCCACTGGAGGCGGGAAATCTAATAATCATATGCCACAATAAATACCAGCAGTGCATTTAAACAATGAGCAAAGACCTTCTCAAGCAGCTGATAGACTGCAAGATATTAAATATTCTACTGAAACTAAAAATGCAGTAGCAGGTCTTTAAAACACAAATTTAGACTCCTTTTAACTAAATCACACAGCAGGATCAAAATCCACAAAGACTTTGGAGCACCGACGGAGAAAAGAACGTCTGTCAAAACCTGGGAAAGGGGACAGAAAAAACCTCCATATTTGTATCCTAGGACTACTACAGTAGCTTTGCATGAGTCAAAGTTAAAAGTAATGTTCATTTTTTAAATACTGGGCCGTGGTGCTGCACTTCAGTTCATCCACTGTGCAGCCTGATGCAGACAAACATCCCAGAATGAGTGTGTGACACAAACTGACGTGAGAGGAAAAAAAAACTGTTCTGTGGAAAGTTTACACAAGCACAGCATTCACATGCACTCGTGCAGTCAGAGCTCAGCATGCTGCTCGCTGCCGCTCTGTCACAGGAGCCGTCATGTGAGGAGGAATTAGGGCTCCAATAAACAGCTTGTAGATAGAAAAAAAGCCCAGACAGATGGATTATTAAACGTTAAGTCCTCTGTGTCTCTCATGTGCTGTGGTCTTTCAAGGCCTGGAAAAGAGTCAAAAACCTTCCAGGCACTCAGATTTTTAATGTGCTGATCTATTAATCAGGCAATAGTTACCAGGCCTACTGAGCTGAGGCTCAAGCAGGGAGACAGTCGACTGTCTTTTTGTGTCTCAAAAAACACATGAAACAGATGAGAGACGTGTTAATTAGTGAGTGTTCGGGGGCCTGGCAGGTGGATGTGTTCCCTTCAGTCAGACTCAGCCAGCTGCTGCCCCAGATACCAGTCCTTCTAAAGTTTCTTGTCTGCTTACTGTCCTGCTGCCTCTCAGCAAAAAAGCAAATCACCATCAACACCCCACCCTTGTTACATTTACTCTCCAGCTTCTCTGCTGGAGAGTAAATGTAACAATATACACATATGTATATGTATATGTATGTATGTATATATACACACATACACACACACACACACACACACACATACATATATATGTATTCCCACATACCAGATCTTTAGTTTACCCTCAAAAATAGCAGACAGATGGCGGCTCTTTCGTTCTTTTGAGGAGATTAAAATAAATATGTAAATATTTGCAGAGTCGCTTTACTTTTGCCTGAAAAAAAAACAACTAAAAGCATAAATTAAAGATCAAAACAGCTGCTGGGATTGGACTGTTCCAGCTTCAATTTAAATAATATCAACAATTGGAGCAGAAAGTGAAGAGAAGCTCGGATTAGAAATGCAGATGACGAGATGCACTTTTATTTAGCGTGTGTAGGAGGACAGAGTGTGAAACACACTTGGTCTCTTCCTACACACCCACACACATGAAAGGCACACCGCTAAACTCTGAATCATTCACCTCTTCACTGTCCTATTTTCCACACGCATACATCAGCCTCTTACAGCTGAATGAAGCTGAACACTGCCTGTGAATGTGCAGTTCCACTGAGCGACCACAGAAGGGAGCTCCAGGCTTTTCAGTGGGAGTCATCTCATGTTTTGAGGAGGAGAAGATGAGAGGGCTTCAGGGTGTGAATGTTTTCAACAGTTTTACCCACATTTCAACTCTGCACTGTCAACACTGACATTCCTCTGGAACTGAATGAAGCTCTTTGACTAAACCCACTGATCAAGTTGACGTTTTTTTTGAGTTGGTAAAATAATCTACTTGGACCTTGGAGCCTAGTTCCTCTGGGGAAACAGCAGGTGGAGGAGCTGGGGTCCACTAAAGGATAATGGAATACCGTCTTAGTGTGAAAAATCATTTGGTTGGCCTGAGCTCTCCGTTTGAGACGAAGAGGAAGGGGAATATGGTGAAGGGCAAACGGTTTTCTCTCACTCGGTTTATATTCTGGGTCACGTCATGCTACAAGCTGCTCAACACTCCCTCCTCTTCATCATCTTCCTCCTCTTCTCTCTAAATATCTCTCTGTCTCTCTGCCATCTGGACATTCTGAGCCTGTAGCATCTTGTTTCTGTGCCTCTTCTCTGAAGGTTTTTTTTTCATGGGGGGGCTTTCAAAGTCCTGCTTGTTGGCGTTTTCCTCCAAATACCCTCCTGATTTGTAACTGGTAACATAAAAAATTAAACACTATCACAATCTAAGCAGAATTTGGACTACAAACTGCAGCAATACTGACAGAGCATCCCAGGCTGTGTTTACAATAAAAGCAATAAATAAATAATATTAATCAAAGAAGAATAAGTGTGGAACATCTTTCATCATGGTGGCTGCAGCCATCTTTCATAATGTCCACAGCTCCGCTGCTTGTCATTAAGTGGTACACAGGTGGTCGAGATCCATTTATTATCCATAATCATTCACCTTAAGTCATCTGGATGCTCTCTGAATCAGCTGACAGAGGGATCCAAACAGTGTGTTGGTTCAGGCTGAAGCTAGTGTGAAAGTGTACAGTGGAAACGTCAGCTCACCAAAGCACGCCCATGTTATTGCCCAAGGACCCCAAATTCTCCATGACTGTGGCGGAACAGAGTTTATATTTCCTCCTCTTAGCTCTCACTTTAGCGCCATCTTTTAACCCTGCCGTCTCCTCCAGGACTACAGGCCTCGGCTTGGGCAGTAGAACTGAGGCCAATTCGCCAATAATGAGAGTGAAATGAGATGAAAAAGACACACGCAGGCTTGACAAGACAAGACTTGAAAAGCAAAGGTAACCACATTTTCCAAGGATAAACACAAAAAGCAATGAATATTGACTTTGGATGATTGAATCGTTAAAAAAACAGCAGGAGCTGATATAACAGGCTGTTACACAGTAACTGCTCACATCTGAAGGGTATCCAATCAGGTTAGTATACTATCAAAGACTGGCTGATTGCCTTTTTGATTACAATTGATTAAACGCTCCTGGCCTTTGATTACATAAACCCGATTCCAAAGAAGATGGGACGCTGTACAAAATGTAAATTAAAACAATGCAAATACATGCAAATCTCATAAATCCTTTTATTTATAGCATAACACAGAAAAAATATATTAGCTCAATTTGAATATGATGGCAGCAACAGGTCTCAAAAAAGTTGGGTTTACCGCACTGCAGCATCTCAATTCACATCATATATGTAGTAACATCGGATTTTAGCAACAGTCCATAAAATTTGGGGAACTGAGGAGAGCAGCTGCTGGACTGACTGATACAGGATTGTAGCTGCTAAACAGCTTCTTTGTTGTATTTTACGTTTCAAAATGTGTGGAAAGATTGTAACTGGTGAAAGATTCTCCACTATGAAGCCACGCTGCTGTAATACTTGCAGTTTAGCATTGTCTTGCTGAAATATGAAGGACTTTGCTCTAAAACCTGTATATACATTTCTGCTGCTATCGTACCATCAGAGATGCACACCTGTGAACTGACTGCTGATAACAAGTTGGATGGTTCCTCTCCTCTTTAGTTCCACTTTTGATTTGTCTGACCATACAACACTTTTCCATTTTGCCTCAGTCAGTGTAAATGAGATCAGAAGTCATTTTCATATGTATAAAGAGGAAGAAAAAATAAACATTTGCAACAAAACATGTTTTAGTGTAACCTGCAGTAAATTCCATCAAGTAATCCAAATGTCCTTTGATTATTTTTTATGGATTCTGATGGTTTACATAACCATTTTTAAAACCGGCACATAGTTTTTAAAAATGATGGTAGTTACATGTTTAAAAAGACAAGTATTCAAAGACTGATCACACGCAGTCTGTGCATGCATCTGCACTTGAAGTCACTCACACAAGGTGATGATTGGTCACTAATGAGGTCAGGCGCACTGACGATGGGAGCATGATGTCATTCTCCCTGAGGCCTGAACCCATTACGGACCATTAGTCACCATCTTATCACGCTTACACATAAGGGGCTCGTGTAGAAATGTTGTGCTTCAAAAAGAGTTTCAGGAAGCCACTGATAGATAACTAATGATGCTCTCCTTACAACAGCAAACACTGAGAGCGCAGCAGCTCAAAGACGCGAGTCAGATAGCTTACAGTGTGAAAGTTAGCATCAACAGACCGAATCACTGTACTTTTAAGTTCAGCATCAGTACACTTGAAAAGTTTTTTATATAGCGAGGGCACAAAAGGGAAACACATGTAAAATGTTACAAGAGTGAAATGAAAATGAGTCAGACTTAAAAACTGAAAGTGGTGAGAAAGTGAAGTTTAAAGAGTCTCTGAGGGTTAGTAACAGATTTGTGAACATTCAAGAGTTATTACAGCGAGTGTGTGAACAGCTCACAGCTAAGAGTCGCCGCGATATATCAAAGCCTTTTATGGACCAAACGACTAAATTGCAGCTCTCTTCTGGGCCGCACAAAAATAACTTCTAGCTCTGTGAGCACCTTCCTCGACACACTGCATTTTCACATCCCCTTTAACCCAACCTTAAACATTACAGCTAAATGACCCAGCCAAACTTGACTGTTAATCCAAGTGTGAACCCTGTCCTAAAGTCACAACCAGGCAAAATATGTCCACACTTTGTGGTCTACAGTTGAAACTGGTGCTGATGAAGATAAATAAAATATGACACGGCTGTGATCCATCTACTATCTTGGACTCTATTCCAGTGGAAGTAGGATACCCCTTTAGGGACCATTATCTGACGCTTAAAATATAGGAACCGAAAATAGACGCACACGAAACCCAGACTCATTGATACTTCATACATGCACAGACGCATACATCTCCAATTGTATGTGTGTGTGTATCAGACTTTCCTAATACGGTCTCTGATGCTGCAAGCCATGTGATGGTTAGACTTAAGACATTTCAACTCACAACACATGCAGGCAGTGTCACGACAAAGCCGACACAAAACAGAACTGTTCCTTCTGGAGTGAAGTATGAGAACAGAAGTGAAAACAAATGCTGGGATTCTTTGTATTAACGCATTAAAAAAAACCCTAATAATAACATTTTTTTCATTTTGCTCAAGTGCAAGAAGGACAACTTCAGTAAGATGTAAGGTCCACCAGTAACAGGTTTACTCAGTGTGCCCAGCTCAGTGCATATGCAGCAGAGCAGACAGCTTTGCCAACATACACTATATTATACACTACAGTGCAAGAACTTACACTCACCCATTCAAACCACTGAATTTAGGCGTTCCAATCACTTCCATGGCCAAAAAGTCTGCCCTGACCATCATGGACTTTCCTCCACAAAAATCAACCTCATTCAGCATTTATGAAAGCACTTGAGGACTGGGGAAGCTATGTATGACTGACAAGAAGCTCTTTAGAACACTGCCAGATCAAACTCAGTCCAGCAAACACGCATGTTCAGGCAAACAGTGGGTACCTGTGAGTGAACTGCGTGGTTGTGCACATTGCGTAATCTCACATTTCTCCCATGTGGGCAAATTTCCCCCCAGGTTAGCCACCTGTGGATCACATGTGGTTCCTGCACTGTGGGGCAAAGGTGTCAGACTACTAGACCCCAGTTTGTAAGGCACTGGGGTTTTCCTTTGAATCAGCAAGCTGCATTTGATGATTCTCAGTCATTAGAACACACTCACTTATATAGAAGCAACAAAACACTTGGTTTGTTACAATAGCTATTTTCTTAGAAATGTAAATTTCAGACCTTCTAGATCTTCTACACAAGCCAGCTGCAGTCGCACGCACAAATCATGGCATCAGCTCTAACTTCTACCACGTGCGCCTGCTGGTCCACAGCCACCACACACACACGGGAACAGCTTGAGATGAAAGCAGAGTGCGGTGAAGCTCGTCTTTGATCACAGTCTGCTGTTTCGACACACAAACGTATGCACGCGCGCGTGCATGCAGAGCATCTAATCTGAAACACCCTAACATGTGGTCTGAGGCAAAGAAACACACAGTGGCAGTGGACGAGAGAAATTAAGAGAAAGCTACGACAGAATTTCAAAGGAAAGGAAGCTGCTGTCCCCATTCGCACCAACGAGAGGAGCCAGTGAGTCGCAGCTTGATGAGATGACAATAAAGTTTCTTAAAACCACAGGTGAACACAAACTCAGACCCTCTGTGTCAAAAGGTTGTCCAAAATGCTGTTGTCAAGATTAAAAAATAAATGAAATTTATAAAAAACTCAGCTTCACCTTAAATCTCAGTGTTTGCAGTTTAAATGTCTGCATGTTCAGATGCCTGCTGACAGCCCAACACCACATCATCAGACATTACTGCTTTTTCTTTAACTGAGGAGGAAAACTGAAGGAAGCCACAGCTCCTTTACTCCTTTTTTCTTTCACAATCGCCACTCAGGCTAACTCTAAAAGATTATAAAAATTATTTGTGACATATTTCTGCAGGTACAACAGGCAAATTCTTTTTTTGAGGTACTGTGCTCAACAAATTTATCAGACCACACAAATATTTGAGAAAGAACAAATCAAAAACTTGTTTAAAACGAATAAATATATTGTCAGTTAGTTGCCAAATAGCTGAGACTTTTTTCCCCAAAATTTGAGCTGGTACACTGGACTGAGAAGTGAGAACTACAGGAAGCAACATTAAGGGGGGTACACAGTTCCACAGTGAGAGTTGCTATGCCAACAGCTACAGAGAGTGGTGGAGGCAGCAGAGAACGTCACTGGCAAGCGCCTCCCTGCCACTAAGGACAACGTAAGACTCAGAGCATTATCGAGGATCACAGCTAGATTGAGAACAATCTGTTCCGAGATTTCCTTCATCAAAAATAAAAAACCATACCCGATCTCTCATTCAACACCATTGTCTTCATGCCTGGATGGCTTCCACAGCACAGCCGCTGTTTTTCAATATCTCTCTGCAACCTGCGATGCGCCTCCTCAATAGCCTCCAGTGTGCTAAAACGGTCACCCTTATATTATTGCACTAAAAGCTCAGTGGGGAAAACATTTTGGTTTGAAATAAAAATAAAAATGTAAAAAACAGAGCTTGGAAAAGAAAAACAGTACAGAAAAATACAAAAATATCCTGGAATTCCCTTTAGTTTTAGTCTTTTTTGTCAGCACAACCAGGCTGTGAATGGTTAGCATGTCATGACTGGGACTAAAGGACCTTCACATGTGTATCAATAATGCTTATTCTGACAGATATAAAGCCTTGTTACAACTAAAACTGAACCTAACAAAACTAAACTAAAAGAAAACCTAAAATTGAAAAAGGTAATGAAAAATACAAAACTATAGCAACGCTGTTCAGATGGAGAGAAGCTGATGTGTGCACTCATGGCTGTGAAAGTTTGAAGGCTGTGGTGAAGTCAGAGTTGACAGTTATATAGTCATAATGGGGTTTCCATGGAGAGACAGAACAAGAGCAACTGTGCTGGAAATGGTTCCTTTACGTGGACTGGAGGTGACTGCAAGAGGAGATCGCCCAAATTCAAATCAGGTTGGTTTTTCATTTATAATGGCTCTGTTCCTGGAACTCTGAAATTAAACCTGGTATAGATCAGTAATTCCCAATGATATAACCTTAATTAATTAGTTAATTAATTAATTAGCAATCCTCTTTGCTTATCCTTTTCAGGACGGGGGGGCGATGACAGCTGTCTTTGCAATGACTCTGAAAACCAATTCTGATACACTCACTTTTTGTGAGTGCTGCTGGTGTTAAATAAAATGATATGATATGACATAGGATGGTAAACAAGTTGTGGACTAATGAACAGAAAAACAACAGACAAAAGACTAAATTCAAAATGTTTTTTGTTTTTTAAAACACATTTAAAGACCACCTTTAAAGTTAAAGACCAGTAATGACAGGCTTTTCTGGCTTTGAAGAGAAAACGGTCCCTACCCAGGGTTTGTCAGCAGACAGCTCAGCCCAGATGTGTGTCATCTGGCCAATTAGCAGATAAAGCGGGACCTACCCCGGTTGTGATTGCCTCCGTCGTCATGGCTACGAGGTGTATCTCTATGGAGGGGCGAGGCCTGTGGGAGGAGGGAGGGGTCGAGAGAGGAAGGCGGGGGCGAGCAGGGCAGCGAGGGTGGAGCTACAACCAGGCGGGTGGGAAGTGGGAAGTGTTCAGAGACGCAGGAGGTGGGGGGTGTGTGTAGTGCAAGGAAGGTAGTTGGAGGAGGTGGTGGTGGTAGGGTGAGCATCAAGGTGAACCAAGTACAGCAAGGCAAAGTTCATTCCACGAAAAACACACCCCGAAAAACAGCAAAAATCACCAGGAGAAAGTGTGAATTAGTTTTCAGGAATCAATGAAGCAGGTATTGATTCAAAAATGCAGGCAGGTCAGATTAAATGAGTGTTTATGTGATTTTAAACATCAAAGGTCATGCAGGAGAAATGAAAGTGCCACAAAAAAAGGCAAAAAGCAAACAAACAAGTAAATCAGAAAAGGTAAAAAAGGTGAAGCAAAGAAACAGAATGAGATGACAAGACACAAAACAAAACAGCACAAAACAAAATAAAGATTAGTGGCATTTCACATTACAAATCACTCTCACATGCTGTTAGCATCATGTTAGCTTCATTAGCGGTTAGCATCATTTCACACTGGTAACAGCAAACAAAAGCTGGATGGTTGCCAACTATAATAAAGCATGGGCAGAAGCTTTCTATCATTCTGCAAATAAAGCTGATGAGCAGGGGCCACAAGCTGCCACAACATGACTGCTGCTGCTTCGCTTTAAGCTAATGACTAAGTTCAGGGTTTCCAGCGGTGTATCTGATATGCCCGTGTTGGTGTTGTTCAATACTGTTTGTCCAGGATCAACTGACCAGTCACACTGTTATGATGTCATAGCATTGCAATGTTCGGGAAAAAATGCCTTAGTTTGTATAAAACTCTGTATAAGATTCTGGAACAAATGGTAAGCATTTCAAGTTGTTAATTTTTACAAAATAATAAATATATTACAAAATTAGGTTTGCTGTTAGTCAAATTTAGGTATACATGTTGGTTTGTGAGCAAGAGTTTTTCAAAGCATTAGCTGAACGCTCAAACAATGTCAGTTTTAATGTTTATCCTGGACCAACATTATTATGATGACGTTTCCAGCAGTGTATTAAAGCTGACACCCTTTTAGGGCCTTAGAAGAAAAATAATTAAGTGCGTTTGCTTTTTCACCCACCTGTAGAAAGTTTTGCTTTTAGGGTTTTTAAAGCCATATAAAGCCACGTAAAAGAAAGACAATTTCCTACACTCTTGTTTAACCAATATGGATTATATCAATTAGAATGTTGAGCTCTAGGCTAAGCTTAAATTAAAACTACATAAGCTACAAACTGTATGACTAGAGCAACAGAGCTCATGTCAAAATCAGGTGTTCATCCTACACTCAGACTGTGCATTTTTTTTCAGCGACCAGCATAGTAAATGCCATTAAATTATCACAGTGTGGTAACTGAAAGTATACTCTGTCCAGAAAAAAACCCCAATTTGTTAACCTGTACATCTGGTACTCCAGTTAACCTGGTCCACTATCTCAGCTGACTCACCCGAACGAGGTTTCAGTCCAAAGGGTGGGCTGGAGAAGGATGGAGGTCCGCTCACTGGAGATCTGTCATTTCGCTACAACAACAGAAATGGAAACAAAAATTAAAGTCAGTCCTATTTTAGTCAATTTAATGAAAAAATGCTGGACACTCTTGATCCTGTGCTTCATGTGCAGTTTTCAATGACACAGACTTATGAATGACTCCACAGAGAGAGATAAAGTACACAGAAACACATTCACTCCTGTGATGAACCTGTGCAGACTAACAGGAGCTCAGTGGCCTAAAATTGAACTCAGAACAACACTCCACTCAGTTCCTGCCTCCTCTACCTTCAACCATCACTCAACTCATATGGTGAGCAGAAACACAGATACAGCAGACTAGCTTAGTGTCAGCACCAACGCTCCAGAGGTGTGTAATTCAACAAAATTGAAGAGGTACATATTCTTTTCCAAAGACTGTTTTATTTTTATTTAAAAAAAAATAAATCCTACGGTCTTCCATATTTTCACCTGGTAATAACATCTGATCTGAATTTGCATTTCTTATGTGAACAACAGCAGTTTAAAATATATGCAGAACACACTGCAATATATATCTTCTTTGATTTCCATTTGTTCTAAATACAGTGCTGCTTACAGGCCTGTACAAAGAGTGATGACCATCAAAGCAGAAACCCACTGCACTCATAGTGTCACAGGTTTGCTATTGTACACATTAAGTTAGCTAGCTAAACACAAGAAAAAATGTTAACATAATGGAGAAAACAAAGAACAATTAATTGTGACAAAACAGGATAAGATTTTAGACAACATCCATGTCTAAACAGACCTTGCCCAAAACACCCCATGTAACATAAACTTAATGGTACATTCAATTCAGTGTCTTCCATACAGAAACCTATCATTCCTAATCTAATTTGAGGAAATAGGGAATGTTTTACAACAGAATTCAATTTTTCAATTGAATTCAATTTTATTTTTTATTTGTAACCATTGTCAAATTACAACAACGGCTGCCTCAAGGCACTTTATGGTAAAAAGGAAAAAAACAATAGAAAGACAAATTCTGGTATTACTGTTTTAAGCATTGGATGTTTTAACCGATGCTTTAACCCAGAAATAAATAGAGGTAGTACAGAAATATAAAAAAACAAAGTTTTGGTGTTAATCCAATAAATAGTAAACATCATAATATATAGTTCATGAAATTACAAAAATAACCCTGAAACAGTGTTAATTATAAAACAAAGTCACACAGCCACTTCAGCAGATGAATGTTGCACACTAACATGGGAGAGAGAAAACACCAGCCACCTGTTTTTCTACTGTCCACTACAAAGGCTTTCAGTAAACCCACCTTCAGTTTAGCCAGTTAGTAATTTCCCAAGAAAGCCTGCGAGTAACTGGTGAAAGATTGAGACTCGCATGTAGCAACAGAGAAACACATTCCCTCTCTGTGCACATGTGGATCAGGCTGCTGGATGAAATGCGACACGTGAAAAGCTCAGAGAGGTGTGATCGGCAGCTAACACAGCAAACAGACACACGACCGTTGGATCACTGCGAAGCACGACCGTAGACAGCTCACTCGGAGGACAGAGACTACATCCAGAGGTCTGGCGCTACGTTTACCTTGATCGACATATGCCACTCATACTCCCGGCACGCAAGCTGGGCTTCAAACCTGGCCTTTTCTAGAATCATCTGTCTCTTCTTCTGGAACTCACAGCCACCTTCATCCATGTGCTGCTACAGGACGCATCAAAGGTTTCAGCTGTAAGTATTTTCTGTTACTAGCATACCTACAGGTTTTACTTATCTAGGAACGCACAACACTTTTCCACCTGCTGAGCTCCACCAGTTGAGGATAGTCATTAATACATTTTTTAGATAAGAGAGGTGTCTTTGCAAACTGGACCACCTAGTGGTAGTGGATAGGACTTGAAATACTATAAGAAAAGGCCAGAAAAAGGTTTCTTCATTTCTAGTCTCTCTCTATATATATCACATATTATACTATAATTATGCCTTCAGTATATTAGGGGGTCTTTAGCCCTCTAAATGACCCTACATGTTCTGCTTGGATGGCTCAGGGATCATGAAGGAAAAATGAAGGAGAGTTTGAACGTTATTTGGCTGCAAGTACCAATTCTTTCCTCTAAAATGTTTATACCAAAATAACATTTTCATCTGTTGAAACTTCCTCTGGTGCTTTTGTCAAAGAGAAGAGCCACCAGGCATTTCCTGAAAGTTCTCATTAATAAAAATCACTGCCACCTGCTGACCCAGAAATCCAACAAAAAGCTCAAAATCCAAGTTTTAGCAGAACTCTTCAGACACAGTGAATGTTGCTATTTTATTATAAATTACTGGCCAACAAACTGGAGTTTGAACCAACCTGGAAGTCCTTCCAGAAACTAAGAAACATGTATGCCATGTATGTGTGTTAGAGCTAAAGAGCTCTAACGAGCTCATACTGTACCTTTGGTGATGTGGCGCCGTCATCACTGTCCTGCCCGCTAAGGAGAAAAAAAAAGGAAAATAAGGGCAAGTGATCTACTTTACCATGACCCTACATAAAACAGTGTACAGAATCAGAACTACATTTATCTTCAGGAACGACCATATTGGCCCAAATACAAGAAAAGACATTTATTTTATGTTTTTCAGAATTTAGGTTTAGAAGCATCTTAGGAACAAGATGGCATTGAACTGTCTTCTACAAAGATGCATGATGAATTCTTTGTAATAGCCATTTTTTCAGCCCATTTACAGCAAAGGACTACAGATGAAAAGTAGCCTTTTTTGCTAATTCTGCCATTTTAAGATTAATATGTTCACTAATATACACTGTTCCTTTTAAATGAATGAATTCAATTCAAACTCAAAATTGTGAGACAGTTGGTCCTGTATGGGCAGAAATCTGTGCCATCAGAAACTGAATTTGAATAAGTTAAATTTGAATTGCTCCGATTGAATCTGAATTGTAACTTGAATAAATGCTTTTGAAAACTGAATTTGAATTAGTCTAATTTGAAATTGAATTTATGGTTTGAAAATGATCATCACTAAATTGAAATTGAATTTATATTTTGAAAATGAATTGATTTGCTTTGAAACTGCATTTTATCCTTTAAAAATTCAGCTCTCGAATAATTTCAGTTTCACTTCTCACCATTCAGTTTCAGTTCTACAATTCAATTTCAGTTCCAAAATTCAGTTTTTTGGAACTTACATCCGGTTCCGGTTCAAGCGCAGATTAATAGAACTACGTTTTACTAGCGGACCGAAAGTGTTACTGACGGGAATCTACAGCGTCTTTAGCTGAATTAAGACTTCAGAAGTCATTCGTCATGTCGAATGACCAGCGGATAAACTCTCAGGTTGGTAATAAATGTATTACATGTATAAGAACAAGCGTCATGTTAACAAAAGATAGCCGTACGGTAACTGTTATGCTTATTGTAGCTGTTAGCTAAAAACGCTAATTTAGCGTAGTTTGCCCTGAATTCAGCTTTGACAAACAAATATGATCGACTGTTTCTAGTAGAATTCCAAAGTTGTCATCTTGTACCCTCTCAGAGTGCCCCTCTGTATGCTTGCAGAGACCCCTACAGTAGGGAAACATGCAAAACAGTGTCCAAACCTTTGTATTTTAGCTTTATTTATGTCTTACACAGCATCCCAACTCTTTAGCTGACTTAATAACTTTAGCTAAAGTGAATAGTTAGTCTAATTCATTAGTGCAGCATTACTGGATCATCTCTGTTTGAAGTGATATAATATGATATACAACTATCACTGAAACAGCAAACTTTGTAAATAAGCAAACAACACTTCTCATTCTCTAAACGTTTGGCCACAGCTGTAGATTACACTATCAGTGCTTGTTCACTCTTGACAATAATTACATTTCTAAATTCTCTTTGTGCATTTACAGGTAAACAATATCTAATATTTTATCTAAATGACTGCTTTGTCTTTGAAAAGGGTGAAGAGCCTGAGGCCGGTGACAGTCCAGTTCTACTCTAAGTACATCCTTACTGTGGCTCACAGGACAAGGCCACATTCCTGTCCTGCCAGAAGAGAAGACAAACGTCAGAGTCTTCATGCAGTTCAACCACACCTGTCATATTCCATATGACAGGGGTCTCAAACTCCAGTCCTCAAGGGTGGACTGGAGTCATGCAACTTTTCCATGCCCTCGAGGACTGGAGTTTGAGACCCCTGCCGTATGGTGTTCATGCTGTTTTCTACCCCACAGTTACAGCATGTCTGACTGCCTGTTCAGCATATGCAAAAATATATGAGTTTAAGCATGTGATGACTAAGGCCTTCCATTATGGTGTTTGTCATCACATGTCACAGACATCTGGATGATCATTTGGAATAAACTAAAAACTTGTTACTTCATCTTTTATCTTTATTATTATTATTATTGTTGTTCTTATTTTACACTTTTCATGGTTAGGCATTAGGTTTATTTGTAGTAGTCCTTTCCAACGTCTTTCCCTCTTCCATGTTACTGTGTCAGCTTGTGAGCATCTATTTGGGTTTGGAAGTGGAACAGAAAGTCAGGAAATCCAAAGTGCCATTAAAACCAGAAGAGGTTCTTATATTTCAGAAGAAGGGATTAATTCAAAAGAAATGACATCAATGCCATATTTTATTTAGGAATACTAGAGAGCACTTTGCAAAATAACACATTCTTATAATTTCACCCTCAGATGAGCCAACCTACGACTGTCAGGGAATGTGGTGTAGGTACAGAGCATATGAGAGTGGTTAAGTTAATGTCTCTTGTCTAGATGAAGGCACAATAGGGATCAATGGCAAGGCGTAGAGATTCAGTATCTTCAGTCTTCAGTGGACACTCCATTTCTGGCACAAAACACCTGTAAAAGATGGTCGATTTAGGAGGTGACCCGACAACTTTAGCCTGTCAAACATAGTAATGGAGCAGTATGTTTAAAAAATATATCTAATTAAGCATGCACTCAGTACCCTAAGAATTATTATGGTAGTTAAACACAGTGATAGTTGTACATCATATTATATCACTTCAAACAGAGGTGATCCAGTAATGCTGCACTAATGAATTAGACTAACTATTCACTTTAGCTAAAGTTATTAAGTTAGCTAAAGAGTTGGGATGCTGTGTAAGACATAAATAAAGCTAAAACACAAAGGTTTGGACACCGTTTTGCATGTTTCCCTACTGTAGGGGTCTCTGCAAGCATACAGAGGGGCACTCTGAGAGGGTCCAAGATGACAACTTTGGAATTCTACTAGAAACAGTCGATCATATTTGTTTGTCAAAGCTGAATTCAGGGCAAACTACGCTAAATTAGCGTTTTTAGCTAACAGCTACAATAAGCATAACAGTTACCTTACGGCTATCTTTTGTTAACATGACGCTTGTTCTTATACATGTAATACATTTATTACCAACCTGAGAGTTTATCCGCTGGTCATTCGACATGACGAATGACTTCTGAAGTCTTAATTCAGCTAAAGACGCTGTAGATTCCCGTCAGTAACACTTTCGGTCCGCTAGTAAAACGTAGTTCTATTAATCTGCGCTTGAACCGGAACCGGATGTAAGTTCCAAAAAACTGAATTTTGGAACTGAAATTGAATTGTAGAACTGAAACTGAATGGTGAGAAGTGAAACTGAAATTATTCGAGAGCTGAACTTTTAAAGGATAAAATGCAGTTTCAAAGCAAATCAATTCATTTTCAAAATATAAATTCAATTTCAATTTAGTGATGATCATTTTCAAACCATAAATTCAATTTCAAATTAGACTAATTCAAATTCAGTTTTCAAAAGCATTTATTCAAGTTACAATTCAGATTCAATCTGAGCAATTCAAATTCAAATGTAACTTATTCAAATTCAGTTTCTGATGGCACAGATTTCTGCCCATAGTCCTGTTTAATTAGCCCAGTTCAACTTCCAGGACTTTCTGATCATGCCTAGAATATTTACTTACACAAATTGAGGCTATCGATTGAACGTTAATAAAATGATAGCTGTCACTGACTGTGGGCTGACAGAGAAGATGATACAGAGTAATCAAGTCTGACATACAAGACACACTGATGGATTTTTTGTTGTGTTCATACACCACTCTTCACTCAATCATTACTCATCATTAATGTGTTGCTCTCCTCCACAGTGTGTCTTGGTCCCATCTCCCTCCCCTCACCCAATGGCTCCCCTCCCTGAGCCTGGTTCTGCCGGAGGTTTGCTTCCTGTTTATATCAAAGCCCTTTCTCATAGGGGGTCATCTGTTGTTTGGCGTTTTCTCTGTATTGTCGTAGGATTTCCACCTTATAAAATAAAGCACCTAGAGGCAGCTGTTGTTGTGATTTGCTGCTATATAAATAAAACCGAACTGAATTAAATAGAGGTAGAATGCTTTCGGAGCTAAAAAAAAAAGAAGAGATTTTTAACACAAAAACATTTCTCCCCTCAGTCCATCAGGCCAAAACCTTTTCCACAGTCATAATACAAGTAGTCTTAAATGCAGATTCATGGAATCTTACTTGAGTGACTCGTCCACTGTGACCATCTCCACTGGATAGAGCTGGACTCCAGACAAATCTTCCTCTGTGTTCACCCTGATGCACAAAACACAATAGTAATGCCACAGAGTGCTGGCTTGCAAATGAGAAAAACAAACTAAAAACAAAAACATGACTTCAGTCAAGTTTAATTCTCTCATAGTTTAAGTAAGTTCAGCAGTGGTAACATAGTGCTGCAGATATGAATTATTACTCAGCAAAGGGAAACAGACTATGGATACTCTTATAGACTCACTGTGGTGTCACTTAGCTCTAACTAACACTCAGCTGTTGGTGTTTTTCACCTGCTGGGGTCCTGCAGCAGTTCCACAGCCTCTTTTAGCTGGTTGATCATGTCGATGTGGAGCTCTGTGCCCCCTGTGACTTTTGACCTGCAGCCACAAAGATAGAAATGAGAGTCATGTATATGTACAGTGTATTTACACGGGTGATGATGGTGCCATATCATAAAATCACAGCTGGTAAAATCCCTCAGAGGATACTTGTAGATTCTAAATTGTCATCAATCAACAGAAAGAAACACAAAAAAATCACTACTGATTTTGAATGATGCTGCAAAAAGATACTGAATAACCTGTGCTAATAAAAGTAGAAGAAAAATATCTAATTATGACATACAATACAATAATCTACCAATAAATGAGGAGAAACTAAACGTGAGTCATAAAGTGGAAATCGAAACGACACTATGCTCACGAACTTACGTTTGTTGTGTTGACCAGTGAGAGTCTTCTTCTATCCTGAGGGGCTCGTCGAAGTCTGCTGCCGTCCTACCCTGCAAAGACAAGCGTACGCAAATCAGCAACAGCTGCAGAAATCACATGATCCACAGTCCGGCTCAGAGACGTTACCACTTTCTCCTCCGTACAATTAGAAAACAGAGTCCTTTTTCTTCATCCATTCCTTCCATTCTTTATGCTTTTCTTGTTTCTTACTCTTTTCTAACAGCAAGTCTTTATTCTGCAATTTGACTGTAGAGTACTTTGGTATACAGAGGAGTTCACGGCCAATTCAATGACTAGAAGCAATGTGCAACTGGAGAATAACATCGGCAGAGGTAAAAACTGAGTTTTGATGATGTGAAACCCGTTTGTACTTTTAACTTGGAATAAGCTAAAAAAGGTGGATGAACTCCAATACTAAGTAGAGCTGGCTCTCTTCATGACAATTCAAGCAAAACTTTTAAGTCTAAAAGGAATTTTAATTGAGATTAACATAAAGTGACAGTTTATGCTGCAGGCTCCATTTAAACAAACCGCATGAGCCTAAAACGACAGGCAGCGTAACTAATGCTGGAATAAAGTAACCCAGTGAACATAATAGTTTTACATAACCTCAATCAGAGGGAGGCATTATGCATGAAGTGAACCATTTACTGCATCAATTTTTAACTGAAGCACTCAGAGGTGTGCAGACGCAACACAACACGAGCTCTTGCCTTGATGTAGTTGATGAAGCGAGTGCTGAGAGAAGAGTCTCTGTTCTGGTCTCTCAGGGCTTCCGTAGGGCTCTCCTCAATCAGCTGCACCGAGTCAGAGTTTGGGTCTGCTGAAATGAAGGAAACATGAACTCTCAGTTTTAAGCTGAAGTGTAGGCTGTAGAATTCTGCACCACAGGTTTGATAGAATATGAAAAATATGGGCACAAAAGCACAACTCCCATGAAAGTGAACCCACGAAGGATTATAATTACCTGCATAACCAAAGTTATAAAGGGACTTGTAAACGTCACAGCTCCATCAATTTTAGTCAGTCATGCGTAACGCAGCACAGTTTTTGTCTATGTGTTTACACTCATTCAAACAGATTCACTTTTTAAAAATATCAAAGTTATTATCAATGTGCAAGAAATAAAACACAGATACAAATACAGTCTGATCACAGCTCACCAGTCACAACTAACTAGACACTAAATGGAGGAAATAAGCAGAACTGAAGAATCCTGAAAAAAATTATGACAAAAATTTGGCACCAAGCCTCAAACAGCCAATCAACAGCTGAAACATATTTATGAGTGTCAGCAGGCACACCTCCGTCACATAAACTGGCACAGAACGTGTTCAGTCCTATGGTGGGATGAGCAGATGATTGGATTGAGATGCAGTGAAACTGTGCATGCACTACAGAAGTATAAATTGAGGAAAAAGAAAGCTACTTTAATCTTGTTTGGGGACAAAGCCGCCAAACCTTTGAACCACTACTTCAAGTTATGGCTGTCTCTCCTTGCACTTAGACAAGGATTTCAAAAGAACTGTCCAAATATCTGCCCGGAGCCGTTGCCAAGACAGATGTCGAGTGGCAGAATGTGCAGGAGAAGCGATTGGAGGAAAGCAGGTCAGGTGCGTGAGTTAGCCCTTAAGTCAGCTCTTAAAACCTTTGAGAATTCTTTCCCTAATTTTTTGTGTTTGTTTAAATTTCATTCATTTTCTAAACTTTTCACAAGAAAATTGGCGATAAATAATAAAAACCACAGCAGGAGCTTGCTGCTATTTTAAAAACAACACATTTGTCAAATATATAATATGTAAAACATCTTTGTGACGCCAGGATTAAGGATTTGTTTAGAAATATAAATAACCTCTTTTCACTCATCTCAGTTCAGTAAATGTGACCCTCCATCAGCTCTAACCTAATTAAGGCTGATTGAAGTCTATTTAAACTGTGTCTGGGGAGCTGCTGCTGTTCTTTAATAGAGTTCAACAGCCCAGATACTTTTACACACACAGCTGACAGGTTAGAAAAGCAAAACTACTAAACCCTCAGTTTGTACACTGCTGAACCACATCGCATGGCAGGGCTCGTACGGGATCTCCTGACTTGTAGATGGTGCTGAGCACTGCTTCATGCTGCATGAACAAATCCAGCAGCAGATAAATAATTGTGCAAGTCTGTTGATTACTTCACTCTTTCCTCTTTTCCATAATCATTGACTGAATCACTCAATGTGCATTCTCAAATTGGTTATGCTTTTTTCTCAACGGAGTCAAGTCCAGATGATGTTTATGCTCCCAAAGCATGAGTAATAAGAGCGCACGTGCACACACTATTCATTCACATGGATCCGGGCTGTCCAGAGAGTTTAACCAGGTGACAATAGATAGCATAATACAGTTTGTCTACCATCGCCACATGCTGGCCACTCTGTGTGTGTGTGTGTGTGTGTGTACCTGTCAGAGAGCTGATGTGTTCACTCGAGTCGTCTTTGCCGATTCCCTCCTCTGTGATGTGACTCATTGGCACATTAAGGCTCAGACTGTCTTCATCTGACGGCTGAAACAAGCAATGAAACGGCTTCAGAGCTGAAACAAAACTGTGAGAACCTCAACACAAGAACACAACAACTGATGAGTGTTAAAAGTGTAAACGTTCTCAGTTGTAGTTTATTACTTTTCTCGTAGTTTTGGGTCAGGAAAAGCATATCAGTTGCAAATTAGAGTTTATAATTTCAGTTTCGCAGACCTGGAGCTGGCTGCTGCCTTGAATAGCTTTCTATCTCAACAATGACCAAAAGTGTGAATTAGTAACAAAGAAAAAATGTGTTCATTCTAAAATGAAAAGGAGATCTCTGACTCCCACTGATGCGACGTGACGTCAGTTTACAGAATCGTACAAAATTCCTCTGCACTGCACGGATAAAGACTACGAAAGACAGAAAAACTTTTAGCTTATCAGTTCAAATGAAGAAAATAACTTCAACTAAACGTTAAGTTGCCCCTAATTACAAGATGAGGCCAAAGTGCCTCCGCTCTAACAGTATTTCATTTCAAGACCAAATCCAGAAGAATCTCAAATTCAAAGTCAAATATTAAAATTTTCAGTTATTTGTCATTTATTTCAACTTTGTATTAATTCATCTTAAATAATGCTCTTTAACAATTTACTGTTAAATGTAACAATTCATTTTTTGCCATTTTTCACAATCATTTACTCACAAGTCCACAAAAGAAATAACAATTTGCAGAAAAAGTGAGTGACGTCTAAACGGGTCCGTCTTTTAATGTCACCGCACTCACTCAGATACACCGACTTACAGAGGAAAAAAACGATGAGCTGGTGTGATTAGAAAATGAGGATTAAAGGAGTAAAGATGAGTGTATTAAGTACATGTCTAACGCATATTTGTGCATGGATACATACACACACATAACTATACACCTATATTTGAACATGTTACAGTCATATTGGTACAAATGTACAAAATCCCCCCCCACACACAGACACACAGATGCAGAGACACACAGATGCAGAGACACACAGATGCAGAGACACACACACACACCTCAGTAGCAGACAGTCTCTTGTCTCCGTTGTCGCTGCCGACTCCTGAGTCACTGTCCTGCTTCTTCTGCTGCTCCATGTCTTCCACACTGCAGACACAAGACACAGGTCACACACCTGACACACACACAGGAGGCAGGCGTGTGTGTGTGTGTATGCACAGGCGAGACAAAGAGCAAGGGAGCCACAATGACAGAGAGGGAGACAGAGAGAGAATGCTCCCCCTCCCCTCTCTGCTTCTCATGCTGCGTTCACACTGCTGTGTAAATTCTGATTGGCTGTTTGGATTTAACCTTTAACTGCTGTCATGAAAGTTTCAGGGCATCTACAGGTGTAAGCCGGTTAAACAAAAACTTTTTTTGACGTCACTGCAATCAACATTTAAAAATGAAACCTACAACCGAAATACACAGACCACAGCAAACAAAGTAAAGCCTTCATCATCCTCACTTCCATCACTGTACTGCATGTCTGCATGTACCCTCTCCCAGGCCTGAAGTATTCTTCAGGAATTTATTTAGTATTTTTATGCATCTTCTCGGCATTCTTTAACTTTACACATGTAAAGACAGCCGAATGTGTAATGAGGAGAAATTCTTGAGGTGACAGGACTAAAGAGAGACCCATCTGAACCACCAGTAGTACAGCTCAGCCTGCTATGTAGACACCCCTATGGCATCAGTTTGAAAATCCTACATTACCTTCTTCTCGAGTTATCGCATTCACAAGATTTTCAGAAAACTTGAACTTTGACCTTTCACTTTAGGTTCATGTCACAGAGATTCAGAGTAGTCTGAGATGATTTGTAAACGTGCCTGTGTTATTGATTTCAAGCTCATTCTGGAGTTATTGGGTTCACAAGATTTCAATGAAACTTGAACTTTGCAATTCAAACGTGTTCAAGATTTATTTTGTAGACACACCTATGGTATCAATCTGAAGCTCCTACACTGCCTCATTCTCAAGTTATCTCATTCACAAATTTAGGTTAGGTTTTCACTCTGCCCGCCCAGCCTGCCCGGTGGAGTGACAAGAATACTCCATCAGCCTTTTACAGCTGAGGGGTAAAAACTTATGTACAAAGTTTCTGAACCATCCATCCATCCATCCATTTTCATCCGCTTTGTCCGGGGCCGGGTCGCGGGGGCAGCAGCCTAAGCAAAGTTTCTGAACCTTAGGACGCAAAATTTAATTTAGGACCTTAAACAATCCAATGTCACATGTTTTTCACTGCCAAGCTTTCTATTAAGCCCCATGGATGGCATGAAGTTCCTATACTTAATCCTTCATTGATTTAAAGTCATAGCTTCCTTAATGTTTTATATTACTTAGACAGTTAAGTGCTTTTTTTCTGGCCTATGAATAGAACGACTTGATGCGATCAGACAGAGGAAGCCTAAAATAATATTAAACAATAAAGAAGCTCATTGAGTGGTTAATATGATAGTTAAAATAATAATAATAATAATAATAATAATAATAATAATAATAATAAGGTGTAAGCCTTCAAATAGAGTTTAAATCAACTTTTTCTGTAAGACTTTTCTTAAACAAACTGACCTGTCATACTCTGTATAATATTGAAATCTAAAGCATTATTAAACAAATTCTATTATGTTTATTATTTATTCATAATAGAACAAATAGAATATATTTGTTCTATTGTGATAAAACATCCCTATTTGATCAAGGGAAGATCTGAAAAAAGGTTTTAAAAATCAGTGTTTTAGAAAACACACAGGAGTCAAATACAAGGGCATCTGGGGAACTTTAATTGGCCGTGTGAACACTGGCCTGTGGCAGTCTCCAAGCAACTGAACAATAATGAGGCACTGGAATTGCTCACACACACACACACACACACACACACACACACGCGCACACACAGCATTTTCTAATAACCCTTCTGTGAGCAACAGTGTCGCTCCTCTCCTCTCATCTCCTTGATCATGATTCTACAAGTGCAGTTGCTTCATAATAGCCCACACAGGTCACTTTAAGTCTGAGACAAATTAGGGTTCATCCATCTCTCTGTGACCTCTGACCCCCTGACATCCTCATCATGTCACTAAAAGACTAAAACTCGTGTAATAGCCAAAAAAATATGCCATCATAAGCAAATGCTATGAGCAGATCTGGAACTTGGACTGTGTTGTTTTACTTTGGCGGGGCACTCTTTCTTCATTTGGTAAACCATAAACGGAGCCATGCTGGGTTTCATTTTTATCTAGCTCTGTTTAAGGTCATCGTATTAATGGGGTTTTAAAAATAGCATCACTCTGTTCTCAGCTTCCTCTGGAGTGAGACGGCAAACGACTGCACCTCACAGAAGCGTACTAATTTATTATCCACAGCCTTTTTTTGAGTGAAAGTGGCATTGCATGTTTATGAAAAACAAAGCTGAGAAACAACAAATTCAGAGTGATGGCTTGTAATAATGTTTCAGTGAAAGACGAAAAAAAGAATCGGAAGCATTTGAGGATCACAGAAGACGACTAAGAAGAAATCATAGAGCAGGAATAGAAGACTTCTGTTAAAATAAATATGAAGTTGAACTTTAGCATATCTGTCTTTCAGAATCATAGCTTGTCAAAGTCAGGGATTGGTCTAATTTCAGTAACCCTGCATGGAAAACACAGCCAATCAAAAACGGCTCGTCTACCAATTCAAAGATTGGTGGTTCCGCTCTGCACTTCTCCAGTCTGCATGCCAAAGTATCCTCGAGCAGGATACTGAACCCTGAGTTGCCCCTGATGCATCTATCAGTGTGAGATAAAAGTGTGTGTGCGAATGGGTGAGGCTGTAGCATAAAGCACTTTTGAGTGCTCAGTTAGAATGGAAACCACTATAAGTACCAGTTCATTTCCCATAAAATCAGTGACGTCACCAACTGTGTATTGAATCTAAATGCAATCGATTATCGATGGAATGCCAATCAGCAGGCGGTGCTGTTTTCTGGTATTAATTGAAAATATATGGAGCCAAAAAACTGACATATTAACGTATAAACCAATAAGCAACTTACTGGGTTTGGGGGGGGGGGGGGTTTAACATATTCCCACACTATAAGGCGCACTTAAAAACCTTTAATTTTCTCAAAATCTACAGTGCTTACTCGACAGTGGTTGTGCTTACTGACCTCGAACTGCTTTTATGTGGTACACAGCACTCAAAGATCTGCCAAAAAATGTTTTAGTATTACTTTGGTAAGCTATGAAGGCGCACCGCTTGATGAATTGTCGGAGCATTATTTTACCAGGTGTAACAATTAAGTTAAAACATCCAGGCATCCATGAAAATAGAAGTTATTAAATTTAACGGAGTTAAAAGTTAGCAGGAAGTTAGCTCGCTAGTTTCCACCTAAACATGATATTGCATGTTCTGACTGAGAGATTTCTGAAAAAATTAAAACGTACAGCTCTGCTATCACTTCCAACATGAATGAAGACAGAAAACTAAACAGCAGTGACGTTTGTAGGGTTATTGAAATTTGGCTAGCTGGTATATAATGATTTGCTACGTGATCGCTAGTGACACAGCTATGTTAGTATAACATAAACACAGTGAAGCTGGAGGATGAACACTAACATTTTTCCACTCGATAAAAGTTAACGTGAGGGTTCCTGATGGTTAGGGACAAAAGCAATCACATGGCAGGATGATACAAACGGACCAAACTTCAGTCAGGAGAACAACTGAGAAAATCCATCCACAATACCAGATTAGTCATTAATACACTGCAACATCATCGGAAAAGAGCAGCAGAGAGAATTCAACATTAATGAATCAATGCAAGAAGAATGAGTGGAGTAAAGTTCGACTTATCTGACTGTTTTGTTTTGCTTATAATCTGGTGCGCCTTATATACGGTCCGAAATATACGGTAGTTATTTCTGGAGTGGCCACTTTAGGTGGTTCCAAAACCAAATTAATTCCCATAGACAGACAAGTCAGAATCCTCAACTTGATGGCATTAAAGAGTTTACAGCTTTTCCCAACGTCTTTACAGCAGAAATAAAATGGGGGGGGAAATCTGCCAAACAGCAAAGCATGACAGCTGCAACAAATGATGAGCTTAAAACCAATCTGAAAATTACTAACCGTCAGAGAAAGAGAAAGCAGACCTGTTGCAGTGCTGTAGTTTGTCAGTCTGGTTTCTGTTCTGGCGTTTTATATGTATGGACTCTATATCCACACAATATCAGCGCTCCCTCTAGGTCACCCCTTCATACCTTGGATGTTGCTGATGCTTTTATCTTGTGTGTCATGTGGAGTTTATTTAATCAAAGAAATCAAGAAGACAAGTGACAAAAGCATGAACAAGAATGAAAGCTAAAGGAAAACCTGATTTACATGTAAGTGTAGAGTCTGTGTGAACTACAGGAGAACAGAAACTGTTTTTCCTGCCCACATCCTGGGAGAGTTTCATGTGGGCAGGAAAAACAACTCAGCTGAAGCTGAGTGTTGAAGGACCTGAAGAGGCAGAATTTTTATTTCCTATGTATTTCTGTTTTTACCGTACTTCCCTCCAACCCTCACCAGTTGCCCACCAGCTTTTTAAATATTTTATTCTTTATTCCTTTGCTTTTTGACATTACATCGCTTGGGTTAGACAAACTAGAAGTCCTTAATCCTAAAGCCTTTGGTAATCCCCCGACTTTGGATTGGAGGATGGATGAAATGACATAAATTCATTCTATACTGTACTCTGTAGATGTGAGTACTGTTCCAGTTTCATAATACAGTTTTACCTCAGACACACAGCTAGATTCCGGGTCAATCGACTGTCTGACATGATTTCTCTGCCTCCTCAGATGTTGTTCCCTACTCTGCCAACAAGAGTTCAAACTGTGCCACCAACATCCTAAAATATGTATGAAAGCGGTCATGACAAAACTTCAAGTGCTGGATCAAACCATGAAATTCTCCTTGCTGCTGCTGCCCCATGAGAACCGGATGAACCCAGAATCTCTGTTTCTTCCTTTTCTTGTTTAGAAACATCAGGACCAGCTCATCATCGCTTGATGTCAACTTCATTTTTTCCACATTGCATTTTTTCAAAAGATGAATTTTCTCACAAAGAAACAACGCTTTAACTGTGTACAGGGTGGGCCATTTATATGGATACACCGTAATAACACCGTGATAAAATGGGAATGGTTGGTGATATTAAAGTCCTGTTTGTGGCACATTAGTATATGTGAGGGGGCAAACTCCTCAAGATGGGTGGTGACCATGGTGGCCATTTAGAAGTCGGCCATCTTGGATACAACTTTTGTTTTTTCAATAGGAAGAGGGCCATGTGACACATCAAACTTACTGGTAATGTCACAAGAAAAACAATGGTGTGCTTGGTTTCAATGTAACTTTATTCTTTCATGAGTTATTTACAAGTTTCTCTTTGTTCACAGCCATTGACATGTCGAAGAGGTTAACACGTGAGGAGCAGATCGAAATTGTGTTGATATCTGGTGAACGCAGTAACCGGGTCATTGCAGCAGATTTCAATGCAAGACACCCTACGAGACCACCCATCTCCCATGCTACAGTCAGCAAACTGCTTGCTAAGTTTCGTGAAACTGGTTCAGTGTTGGATTTGCCAAAATGTGGACGCAAGAAAACTGTCACTAATGAAGAAACATCAGTGGCTGTCCTAGCTTCATTCAGCAAGAGCCCGAAGCGTAGCACTCGCTGCATGTCACTGGAGAGAGGCATTAGTCGAACATCCCTTCGGCGGATATTAGCTACTCACAAATGGCACCCTTACAAACTCCAGCTACTGCAGCATCTCAACGTGGATGACCCTCACTTCATGCAGAAGATTTTGTTCAGTGATGAGGCAAACTTTTATGTGAATGGTGAAGTTAACAAACAAAACTACCGCTATTGGTCTGACACTATCCCACATTGGATGGATCCCTCCAAGACTGTTGGAACAACAAAAGTGATGGTTTGGTGTGGTATATGGGGTACAACGATAGTGGGTCCATTCTTCATCAATGGAAACCTCAAGGCCACTGGATATTTGAAATTGCTACATGATGATGTGTTTCCCTCTTTATGCACTGAAGCTGGCACGTTCCCTGAGTTTTTCCAGCAAGATGGAGCACCACCACATTATGGGTGCCAGGTCCGAGCATTCCTAGATGAACAGTTTCCTAGAAAGTGGATTGGTCGTCGTGGGCCAGTTGAATGGCCCCCAAGGTCTCCCGATCTGACCCCCTTAGACTTTTATCTTTGGGGTCATCTGAAGGCAATTGTCTATGGTGTGAAGATACGAGATGTGCAGCACCTGAAACTACGGATACTGGATTCCTGTGCTGGCATTTCTACTGCGGTGTTGCTATCAGTGTGTGAAGAGTGGGAGAAGAGGGTTGCATTGACAATCCAACCCAATGGGCATTAAACACATTTTCTAAGTGGTCAGAAACTTGTAAATAACTCATGAAAGAATAAAGTTACGTTGAAATCAAGCACACCATTGTTTTTCTTGTGACATTACCAGTAAGTTTGATGTGTCACATGGCCCTCTTCCTATTGAAAAAACAAAAGTTGTATCCAAGATGGCCGACTTCTAAATGGCCACCATGGTCACTACCCATCTTGAGGAGTTTGCCCCCTCACATATACTAATGTGCCACAAACAGGACTTTAATATCACCAACAATTCCCATGTTATTACGGTGTATCCATATAAATGGCCCACCCTGTGTATAAGTTTGAAACTGTGTGTAAAGGCCTTAATGCTAATTTGCGTAACCAGGCAAAACTGTCCTCTGCCAGAGACCTGGGAGCTTGAGAGTCCAGTATCTTTGGTGTTCCTAGGACTGCGCACTTCTGGACAGAGATCTCAGATGTTGTTCCCGGGACCTGCTGGAGCCACTCGCCTAGCTTGGGAGTCACCGCACCTAGTGCTATGATTACCACTGGGACCACCGTTACCTTCATCCTCCACATCTTCTACAGCTATCACTACAGCTGTCTTCCTCTGCTTGTTAGCCTTCACCATTTTGCCCTTCTGTATCTGCAAGTCCCACAGGATCTTAGCTTGGTCATTTTTCGACCACCCTAGGGAGCGTCTCCCATTTTGACCTCGAGATCTCCAGGCCATACTTGGCACAGATGTTTCTGTATACTATGCTGGCCACTTGGTTATGGCGTTCTATGTATGTTCTGCCTGATAGCATCTTGCAACCTGCTGTTATGTGCTGGATTGTCTCAGGGGCATCTTTACACAGCCTGCACCTGGGGTCTTACCTGGTGTAATATGGATCTTGTGCTCAGAGCTTGTTCCTGTGCTGCCATGAGTATTAGTTTATAGGTGGCCAGCACTGCAGGGGTTGTTTGTTTGTTAGTTTGTATTCCTACCATTGTTTCATCTGTCAATTTCTTTCTTTTTACATTGCTTCCTGTTTGTATTGTTATTCACTCTGTTTAGCTCACTTCTTTTTCTTTTCTTTGTATCACTGTGTGCAGTCCATCAACCCATTTCTCTGACTGCTTCAACAAGTCTTTCTTTTGTCCCTGAGATATGTGCAGTCTTTTTTTTGTATGTCCTTACTAGGTGTCATCATTCAAGGATTGTAGTCTTTCATTCCTTTGTCTACTTAAATGTTTTCTTCCTGTATTCACTCCCGATTCCTTTATTCATCAGTCACAGAGAACATCTCACACACCGGTGATGAGATTTTGGACAAACCTTTCAGTATGATGGCAGTCTGTCACTGCTACCCAGCTGGGAGCCGGAGAAAGGATCAGTTTCAGCTGACTAATGGAGGATTTGGCTACAGGCTGAGAAACTGAGCAAGCTCAGATCACAGACAGTTTCTGTCTACGTGTAATGTTGTTAAAACCATACGAAATAATGGCCCTGGGGTGATGTAATGTGCTTCTGGCAACTATCTTGGCAGTCCAAAGCTTAAAACAACTTACAGCATTCATAAATAACCTAAAAGTCACAAAAATTTGAAACAAATGTCTCAAATGTTTTCTCTGTTTGCTAGTTTTCTCATATGTCCTAAACTTTTCTAGAAACAAATGATGGAGTGGGATGTGGATGTATCCTGTACACTAATACTCAATAAAACTGAGTATTTCCAGGACTGGGAATACAGTTCAGATGTGAACCAAAAAACAGAAAAAGCTTCAAAAGTTCATGATTTTACGACTTGAGTCAAATTATAGCTTTTTCTTGCTGCTGTTACACCCAAATTTCCCCTGAGGGACAATTAAAAGATTATTCTATTCCATTATGCCATGTCAGTAGTTATATATAGTATACTTTCTCTTTGTCAGGTTAACAAAACTGAAAGAAACCTTTGTTCAGGTTAAAGGTACAGTCAGTCATTTCTTTGAGGCCACTTAATAAAACAAATGTTGTAATCATAAATATAAATTAATAAGTGTGTAATTATTTCTTAGGACAAAATGATGCATTCTCATAAACTTAGTACATCAAAGGAGAACAGAACTCGTAGACAAATTTTATTTTGCGTCAGCACCTTCAGACTCAAGATATAAAAGATCATACCTGTGTTTTACCAACGGAGCAAAACCACGAAGGAAAGAGACATAGATCCAGATCAAAGTCCATCCTCTCCTTCCTAACCTTAAAGCTAAGAACAAGCTGGCTACATAACAATCGCTTTAAGCTAACATCACACCTACTAATGCCAGAGTCAAGTGTCCTAGAAATAACACTTTCCCTCTGATAAACAGTTTTTATATTCTCACATCGTAACAAGAGTTTATTCGCTAAGCCTCGGAGTCCAACAATGTTAGCCTCACTTCAATGAAATTTTCACCAACACCATGCAACGCATACTGACAGAAAAGTTCAGGATATCCTCAAAAACTCACACCAATATCACTGTGATCACAGAGAAGTGAGCTTTACTGACTCATCAGACCCCTTTCACAAAGTTTTACAGTCTCCTGCATAGTAAATAGAAGCGGATACTTCTCACGCAGCATTGACAGCTGAGGTAAACTGCAGACTGAGCCTAACCAGATTTTTTTTTGAGGTGACTCAAGGAAAAAAAAAAAAGCTAAACCCTGCAAATATTTAGTGGACACATATCACTTTTTATTTATTTTTAAAAGTATTTCTTTTTTTTGATTTATTGTTACATGTTGCTATTATTCAAATATTAGAAAATATAAAAATGTCTTTTTTACACAATTGGTAGCAGACACATGGTGGCCAGCCGTGGCCACTATGGCTCTTTTGCTGACTAAAGCACGTTTGTCCTGCAGCAGCCACTGTAGCTCGGATTATACACTTTGGGAGGGGGAAGAAAACAATTAAGTCGCTGAATTCTTGCAGGTTACATCCCATGCTAATTTTGAAACCCATCATTTAGCTTTAAAACTAAAACCATCACTAGCTGCAGTATCATCATGCTACTCAGACAAGAAGCCAAACAGAAACAGTTCTATCACTGTGTCTGGTTTTAGGTACTGGAACCATGAGGCAACACTGCCATCACAAGTCAACATAGACTCAACATCTTGCTCTGTTATTTTCACCCAGAATACCATTAATGAAAAAACAACAAAAATTGCATTGCTACATAACCGCTAGCAATCCTATTCACTTTAATGATAAAGAATTGACATTTCGACACCAGAACGTTGTCAAAGACGTACAGTCTAACTGCACTACAAGAGCAGACGCTGATAATGAAGAGAAGATAATCCCCCCCAGCTGTGTGATACCACGGTAACTGACCTGCCAGTGGTGGGCCTTGATAAGTTGATTCGCCCCATGACAGGCAGGTAGAGAGAGTCAGGCATCTTCTCGCTGCGACACGCCTCAATGCTCAGATACTTGAATATGTGAACTTTGCCCTTTATACAGATCTGAATAATGGGAGGAAAAGGGACTCAAATCAGCATCAAGTAAAAGTCCAGCTTTGCTTTGTTTTCTACATCATTTCAGCCTTTATTCACAAAGACTGCTGAGTCACTTGTGTCTCTTTTTAGCTCTTGCAGCTGCTCGTGCTTAACATTTCCAAAAGCAGGTACATAGCTTTATACTACCTATTGCAATACTGCTGCTATGCTGCTATGATCATGATGATTGCTGTAATGGCCAGATAATAGCCCTGTGCAGGAACATTAAGCTGAAATGATACATTTAAAAATATAAATTTATTATGAATGTCTGTTTCTTATATTAGGATGGTATCTAAAAAAATAAAGTAGGTTTAATTTTCAGAGATGTGCACCAAGAATTTATGTCGAATCATGACTCAGACACAAAGAATAGTGGAAGATATAAAGTACATTAAGACAAAAGTGTGTGTGTGTTTGTTTATGTACCTGTGCGGGTGGACTCTGCAGTGGATTGTTTTCTAACTGGAGAGTCTGGAGCTGTTTCATCTTCCTGTAACACACTGGGATGGTGGACACTTTGTTACAGGAGAAATCGAACTTCACCAGAGGAAGATCAGCCAAGTCTGTAGGAAGACACAAACGCACAAACATCAGGCAAACAGCTCTGGTCATCTGCTCCTTCAGAGCGAGCAGATTTGTTTTGATTTGGCTTATGTGATATACAATGCAGCACATAAGGGGATTATATCTCATCAGAAAACGTCAGGGTTATCTTTTTTTTTTACCCAAACCATGTTTGTTTTTCTTTTACTTTCTGCCCAACAATAACTCGAATGGAGACGCCCAGGAGGTTTAAAGTCTGACCCTTTTGGTTGATTTTTGCAGAAGACAACACTCAAAATTTGAGACAAACTGCACCTTTGAAATGCCAGCAAACTAATGGATTTAATCTTCCCGAGACTTTACCCCTGCTGTGAAAATGCTAATCACAATGTGCTGGATGAACTTTCACTCCCCGGAAAGTTCCAGAACATTAGTTTTTTCGGGGGGGAAATTAATGTTCCTGGAACAGCGAGTGGAAAATCACTTTTGGAGAACTTAGGCGTGTCTCAGTGTCTTCTGTTTTCATGTAATCCAGACTGACTCCATGGTGGTGAGATCTGTGGAGGTCGGATGATCTCTGCCAGAACACTTTGTTCTGTTCTTGCGTCTGAAGATAGCTCTTTGTGAATTTTCTTGCTGCAGAATTATTTTTAGACGGCTTAGACCTCTCTCTGATGGCACCGATGAGAAAGATTGCATCAACCTGCAACCTTAACCAGGCTGAAATGAGTGAATTCTTGTTATTTTGAACCAGGAATTCTTAAAATAGATGCTAAAGAACAACATATTTGGGCAGGAATATTGAAAAAGTGGCATTTATTTAATATGAAATGGTCAGAGCAAGATGCCCGCTCTCCTGCATCAGCTGCATAGACCATACCACCTGCCCAGTCAGGTGTGGGACATGGAAAAACATGCATTATCTAGTTTCTGCTGACATGCACACGCTTCAGTGATTTGCATAGAATTACTGATATTCAGGTGTTTTCCATAATACTACACTAAGAGGCTTCAGCACACACACAACCTGATTTTAAAATAGACCGATACCAGCAGTTTGTTTAGTGACAGTGGAAACCCCCCCTGCTGCTGATTTAGTTGATCTCAAGTAGACTACACACACTTACACTTTCACATGGGTAAAACCACCAACATGTTTCCCACCAGATAACACAATGCAGCTCTTGTTGTTATTTTCAGACTAGGTTTGTAATTGTTAGCAGCCCAGAGTCAAACTGTTTCTCTTCATGTGAACTTTATTCCTCATTAAATCCAAAATAACCTGGAAAACCTGGAACACCTCTCTTACACAGCGTTTTACTGGAGTGACTAAGCTGTAATTTAACAAAAGTGCCTGTTTTATGTTTAAAGAGTTATGTAGAGTCAATATACAAGCGTGCACACCTTCACAGAGTACCCAATATGTTAACAAGTTAGATGAAGAGGTTGACCACACACTTGATTACAGATTCCAGGTTGCAGCAAGCTTTGGAACCAGCTTTTAAACTAAACACGGTACATTTCTCTATGTATTTCTGTATTTTTTCCCACGGTATTGGGTTTTACACTGGAACAGTGATACAACACTGCTACCATGAGATCCAACTGGACATAACACCACCCCCCTTATGGTGGTACCATAGACAGTATAAGAGATGAATGTAGCTTCCGTGGGCAGATAAATGAAGCCAATGCTGAGGTGCCTTAAACTTGCATGCCTTATTTGTATGGCATTCGATTGCAATAGCTGTGGTTGCAAAAACACTTCCAGTCCTAAAGAAGTGTACAGGTATGGGATTTCATTTTTGACTGCTGTAAGCACTCTACTGTTCAGTTTATGGGCATGGTCATTTATGCCCATAAACTCAACCTTGAAGCTAGCTTCCAAGTACCCAACCTTATTATAACAACAGGAACCTAGAGACCTTGAAGCTCACTTCAACTGCACTCACTGAGTGCAGTTGACATTAACTGAGCTAATGATATTTAGCTCAGTTAATGAGGTCTCTTTGCGCCTAAATCTACAATTAGTCGATTTAGAATGTAATTTTTTAGAAAGCGAGAATTGCAATGAATGAAAGGGAACAAATGCATTTTTCAAAATATCAAACTGTTTCTTTGAGCATATCATAAATATGGGAAACAGAAACACAGAATCATTTTTTCAAAAGGTTAACACAGATCTAAAACTTACCCTGAACTGCACTCAGACTACTAGCTTGCTAATGTTATCCAATGCCTGTTTACCCCAGCTGCTTGGCTCTCCCTGATATTACATGATTTGGAATTTATTACCAGAGTCACTGTAAGCTCATCTAAATGTTAAAAAGGCATTATATTTCTCACTGTGAAGCAATTTATCTCTCTATCTTTTCTAAGTCTTTGCAGTTATATAATTAACCTTTCTTTGAAACCTTTTAGCTGAGGATAAACTGTGAAGGTTTTTAATGGTGCCTTTACCTAGACTGGCAAACAGTCATATACAAGAAATGTATAAACTTTCCGGACTCCTGGTCCACCAAACGCATTGTCCTTATTTGTCTTCTTTCCCAGTGTAAGATGTCCAAAAGAAATTCTCTATGTGAGTGTATGTGTGTGTTTACAGATCCTCAGACGGATGTTTGGGTTTGTGGGCAGAAACCAATGGGGGAACCATATCCTGCAGACTGCTAATGATGCGCAGCTCAGGAACCCATCAATTTTGACAGCATGATCATTACAGAGTGTTTAGACAGTTTCTCATAATTAAAACCACGTGTAGGCGGTAATAATGTCAGCTAAGCACATGTGATGGTGTGAGTGGTGACACCAGAAAGCATTCCTCTGGTTACTGGATAAAAATATTCTCTATACAGTACTCGATTAAATTATGCATAAACATATGTTCCCTTATGCCTTGAGATCACTCAGGACAAATGTGTAAATTTCATCTATAGTGCTCTAACAATTTTATTATAAAACCATCTGACTTTAAAACCAAAAAAACAACAGCAGCAGGCCAATCATGACAGCAGGGGAGACAATTCCTATAAAAGGTACAAACTACAAATTCTCTTTTCACTCCGTTCCCTTCATCTACTCGTAGGACTGGACTCAAAATCTGAGGTTCTAGATCTTGTGCTGAAACACAAACAAAATATACTAGGGTTCACAAAGTTTTTAACCTGCAACGGTATACAAAAACGGGAAAAAACTTGCAAATTACTCCTAAATCTTTTTTAAAAGAACAATAAACAGAAAACTTTAAAAGAACTGAGGCCTCAAGTTATCTAGCAGTCTGTTTACATATGTTCAGATATGCACAGCATCGAATCTGACTGCTGCACACCACCTCACAGGTCTGGAGATCTGAGAGCTGGGCTGATATGAACCATTTTCCTGGTCTTAGTGAACTGTGGCTGTCTGATGAGAAATCTGCAAAGTAGCTGTGCCTGAAATAAAACACAATAACTGCTGATTTACTTTAGATGTTACACTTTGGGCCTGAGTCACTCAGGCTAGAGACTAGATGAAGATTTCAGACATGGCTCGTAGTTCTTTTCACAATGCAGATTTTTGTTATAACTAAATTACTAAATTTTTACAAGACCATCCATGTTTTCTTCTTTCTGGGTTGATAAATAGCTGCTAATAGCATTATTAGATGACTTATTACTTATTGAGGTACAAACTTGCAGAAGCCTCCTCTGATGTCACTGGAAGGAATATGAAATGTATAAAGGATTGACGACACCAGTCTGCTCCATTGCAGCCTTGATGCATTATGCTGCTAACCAAAGCTGCTGCTGCTGCCATGATAATTCTGGCTTTAAAGATCATTTTCCTACCAGCTCTGATCTTCTAGTTAGAGTCTGACTCTCTGACTTTATGCTATTGCCACCCTGAGCTTGGCCGACCGTTAAAAAGCCCTCAGCAGTCATGGTGGTCTTATCTCAGGGACTCTTCAGAGCTGCACAAGTTCAACAGATATTAAATCAAAAACAACATCCCTCCCTTTGTCGGGGCTGCCGTCCAGTCTGCCTGGTTGAAGCCCCCCTCCCCCCAGCACCGTGGTACTAAGCTTCTGAACCAGTTCAAAGCTCATCAATCAATCCAGGAGATGGTCATAAAGGTGAGGGGATGGGGATATGTAACAATTCAGGAAACTGGAGCAACAAATCCAAACCGGCTGAATAAAGCGATTGGAGTTGCTGTTGTTTATCATTCTGATCAACTATCTGCTGGCCTGACTCCATGTCTCGACTCTGTTTATCAGACTATCCACATGCTGGACAACTGACAATGAAGACAGAAATTGATTTTTTTTTTTATATCTTGACTATATTGACTACAAAACAGGAAAAAAAAGATCAACAGACCCATTAATAACTAAAACAGCTATAAGCTCAGGCCCTAACTTAAAAAAAAATACTGTAGTCAGATTGTATTTGGGTACTGATACTGGCCTTACATGCAGAGTTGTTCTGGTGTTTATAAATGGCTGCCCGCCATGTAAAAGCCAGTCTCTCTCCAGCCTATCAGTTAGTCAGACTGGGCGTTGTCTCACTAGATGAGCACCAGACCTTTGTGGCTGTTGCTCATCTCTGTGTCACTGACTTATTTCAGACCTTTTGGGCTGGAGGTCGCTCCTCGGTCACACTGAGGGTTAAGTATATTTTTAGGCCCAAGGATGGGTGTGGCAGTGCACGCAGAGGACTCTGTGGTCTCAGATGCACCTCCCAGTCTTGCATATGGAAGAGATTATTCCATTTCTGAATTTCACTCTAAATGAGACTTGACTTTCCGATCCTCGAGTCACAGCACGGAGTGCACAATAGGCTTCTGTAAGGTGCAGAGGTAAGGTGGGATCAAAAGAAACGTGAAATTAAAAGGCTTAAACGCTGCCTAAAGGGAACATAAATCACCTTAATTACACACCTAAAGTCAAAACAAAGATTTCCAACCAAAATTCACCAGTCTTTAGGACACAGAGAGCTGAAAGCCTTCACTTTCTGAAAGTCATCAAGAAAGACAGGACACTGCAATTTGCCTTATACTGGGGGGGAAAAAAGGCACTCACCTTCTGGCAGGACACAGAGAAGGTTTCGGCGCACGTTTAGCTCGCGCAGAGCTTTGAGTCTGCCGATGTGACGAGGAAGAGCTGTGATCTCGTTGCAGCTGATGTCCTGCAGAGGACAAAAATAAACGAGGGGAGTGAGCGGTTAATATTTATGATTAGTAATTGTTTGAAATGCTCTCGGCAGCACGGGAGCAAACGTCACAGCTGAGCAGATGGTGCAAAGTCGAGCTGGGTTTTCATGCTGAGAGGACGCTGCTGGAAAGTTAATAAGCAATAAGACTTTAATACCATATCACACACATATACAGAGTCCAGGTATAAAGAAGAGGTGAGAGCAGTGATGCAGTTGCCTGAGCACAAAGAATTAAACTCATACTGACAAGAAGTGAAATAACAGTAAGCAATGGGAAGCTTCCAGGTTCTGAGTTATCTCAGATTTGTTTGAGCAGACAGTAGCTGCTTTTAGCTGAAGTGAAGGACACTTCTGACTGACATATGAAGGAGTGGGAATCAATTAGAAGAGACAATGTGCGATGAGCTAATCACTTTATATGTGGGCGGGGCTTTAGTTTAGAGTCAGGCTTGGCTCACGACACTTCAGCTTATTTCATTTTCACCCTAAAAAGACTTAAAGTGATGATGTGCCCCGATTGTCCTGCTGCTGACCAGAACTAGACCGTTTTCAGCTAACAGGCCAGGATGAGGACTGTCATTCTCATTAGCCTCTGCTCCCTGCACAGGAGTGCTAACAAGCAATGTGATTGTTTTGCCTGCCAGCAATATTCCATGTAAAGAGCTAAACCAGCATCATTGTGGCATACTGACTCTCCTCTGAAACAAAACGGACAGTGTAATGGGTCATGAAAATATCTTCCTCATCAACCAATCTGCCAGTGCTGCCATCTGCTGATTCCTTGTTTGCACAGCTCTGTCAGTCCTTGTAAAAATTCACTCTGTTCACAAGTTTGACCCAATCAGATCAGGTCGGTCAGCATCACGCACATTGTGAATGAGCTAATCACAGCACACCACCACCACCACTGGATAAAGTGAAATATCCCGCAGATGGGCTTCTGTCAATTTTTCTGTCAAAATCCAGCTTCCAGTTTGGATTCAGGAGACAGACACTATCTCTACTTTCAAGATTAGGCTTAAAACTTTCCTTTTTGCTAAAGCATATAGTTAGGGCTGGACCAGGTGACCCTGAATCCTCCCTTAGTTATGCTGCAGTAGACAAAGGCTGCTGGGGGATTCCCATGATGCATTGAGTTTTTCCTTTCCAGTCACCTTTCTCACTCACTATGTATTAACAGACCTCTCTGCATTGAATCATATCTGTTATTAACCTCTGTCTCTCTTCCACAGCATGTCTTTTATCCTGTCTTCCTTCTCTCACCCCAACCGGTCGCAGCAGATGGCCCCTCCCTGAGCCTGGTTCTGCCGGAGGTTTCTTCCTGTTAAAAGGGAGTTTTTCCTTCCCACTGTTGCCAAAGTGCTTGCTCATAGGGGGTCATATGATTGTTGGGTTTTTCTCTGTATCTATGAAGCGCCTTGAGGCGACTTATGTTGTGATTTGGCGCTATATAAATAAAATTGAATTGAATTGAATCACTATCAGTTGTATATATTATGCAGCACTTTATTGTGAGACTTGTTTGATTTAGAATAAGAGATGCTGTTGTGGAGGAAAAAGTAAAAAATAAATGTCTTATTATGAGTTTAAGAAGAAAATACCATTTCATTTCTTCTGCTTATCCAAGGCAGGGTCCTGGGAGCAGCACTCTAAGCAGAGAAGCCCAAACCTCCCTCTCTCCAGCTCCTCAGGGAGAACAACAGAGAGATATAATCTCTCCATCATGTCCTGGTTCTACCCCAGGGCCTCAACCTAGGAGGCATCCTAGTCAGATCCATGAACCACGTCAGCTGGCTTGTTTTGATGTGTGGAGTAGCGACTCTACTCTGAGCCCCTCCCGATTAAATGAACTCCTCAGCCTTTCTCTAACAGACAGCCCAGCAACCCTTCAGATTTTGCTGCCTGTATCCGTGATCTCGTTCTTTCATTCACTACTCCGAGCTTGTGACTGTAGGTGAGGGTAGGGACGTAGATCAACTGGTAAATCAACAGCTTCAGTTCTCCTCACCACAACAGAACAGTACAGCATCTGCAGCCAATGTCCCAATCCATCTGCCGATCTCCTGCTCTGCTCTCCCCTCAGTCGTGAACAAGACCCCGAGATACTTAAACTCCTCTCTGACCCTGAGTGGGCACTACTCAGGGTCACAGAATCGACGATCTGATCTGATTTGTATCTTTTTTCAGAAAAAAAGACACAAATGTAACATCAGAATGAGCCAAGGAAATATAAAAAGAGAGTGACGACGTATGTCCCTAAATTTCATGTGACACATAAAGCTTACTGAAGAAGGGCTAAAAAACATAAGCCATAAATCCTCTCCAGACTGGGATAAAAGCAGTGAGCAGCACAACTGGAGCATAAGATATTCACATACAGACAAAGAAACACAAAAATAGAAATATTATTACTCACTCCTGAGTGCCACAGGAATAAACCAACACAGTGACACAAGTGGTAAAACAGCCTTACCAGCTCCATGAGCCTCTGCAGTTGTCCAATGGTCTCGGGCAGGCTGACCAGCTTGTTGTTGCTGGCGTTGAGGACTCTCAGAGGTAAACCACACAGGCAGGCCGGCAGGGAGCCCAGCTGGTTACGACTGCAAACACAAATATCATTCAGTCGAGGGGATCACTTGTGCTCATGTGGTTTTTTTCTTACACCACTTAGTATCTTTAAAGAGCTTTAAAATAAAAAAAGATTAAAACGGTAAAAGCCATTCCTTTTACATTGGACTACAGGTGAACTATAAGCTGATAAGCTGATCATGACGCAATTATAACTTTGTTTCTAAACATTTATGTTCCACACGGCCCAGTGGGATGTGACTGAAAGGGAGAAGAGCTACATGAATATTTTACCACCAAATCATTCAATGCGTTATTAAGATTACAGTTGGAGAGTTAACGATGAATGCAGGGAAGAATTCCTCACTCCCGAGTAGGGATGGGTACCGGTTCTGACATAAACGGTAGTAACCAGACTGAAAAGCAGTGCACATTTCGGTGCTTTATTTCGGTGCTTTTTTTCCCTGAGCTGTGACACACTTTGGATTCTAACCAATCATTTTACGTTTCCGAGGATAGTAGGCGGGTCCGGGTACGTACGTTCTTTTAGAGCAGAGCTATAGATTAAAAATGCCCAAGGCGAAGCGGTCAAAAGTCTGGCTGTACTTCACAGCAAAATATGCAAACTCAGCAGCCTGCAACAAGTGCTTTAAGCTGATACTGTGCAAAGGAGGTAACACCTCGAATCTGATAAAACACCTGGCAATGCATAGCGTTTTTTTTAAAAGCCGAGAAATGTGCCGTATTTGATAGCTTGCTGCGAGACCTCACTCCGTGCACATCTACTGCGGGTGGGTTGCCTGTTATCGGACCCGGAGCAACATCCCCCAAGAACCTGAAGAGGAGAGTCCTGGCCCCTAGCCCTGCCAGTGTAGCAGAAATGATGACGGATGATGATGGCAGCAGCAGCCGTTCTTCTCTGCGTGAGTAGCTTAATGTTGTTCGTGTGTAATTTACATTGAGTAGGCTAACCACGTTATTACATTAATGCATGTAAGGTGAAGTAGCAAACATCATCATAGCTACATGCGGCTGTCTTCTTGTTTGATGGCAGATACTCCCTTCACCCTGGCCAAAAAGGCTAAAATGACCAAAGAAAAAGTGGAAAATAGTTAAACATGAGAGGTGTTTTGTGTTTATTCCATTGTTTAAGCACTGCTTCCAGCCAAGAGTGATACCATATATGCCCCATAGCTGCAGAAAAGGCTGACATTGTTATCTTTTTACAAAAAAACAGCTGAACATGAGAGGTTTTTGGACAAAGTTGGTGTTCTCGATTCTTTAAGCACCGGTTTGAGCACCGTTTAAACACCGGCACTGTTTCAAAAGTACCGGTTTGGCACCAGTATCGGATAAAACCTAAACGATACCCATTCCTACTCCCGAGTCTGTTTATGTTGCCGTTTGCACCTTACAGCAACCCTCAGGAAGAAATAAACATGTCACAGCAATGTTTCCTTTTTACTACACACACACACACACACAAATATGAAAACAAAGATGTCTTTTTACTATTTTTACAAGAGGAGACACACTGCAGGAAACGCTGTACAGAGGAAGTTATGCTATGGATGGGCAACAGTCTATTGTCTTAGGGTTTTTTTTTTTTTACCTTCATCTCTCTTTTCTAAACAGGACACGACCACTTTTGAATTAACTTTACTCAACTTTTACCAGACCAAAGCTAGCAGGGGTATTGTACTCATGCTCTACACTGTGGGTGCCTGACTGACCTGTACAGTTTGAAGGAAGAAGTGGAGAGTTGTCACATCTAGTGCAAATAACAGATTACACGTGTCTAATAAAATCTGTAGTGTCCAAGCTGGAAGGCCAGCTACAGGGAAGGCAATTCAATATATGAAATTTCCAGGAAATCCCAAAAAATACAACAGGTGTCGCTCCTCCTTTTGAAGCCGTCCTTCATTAGTCACACACACACACGCACGCATTTTCACCACAAGACTGCAAAACCCCGTCTGACTTGGGGTTCTGAAAATAGCAATCAGGAAACATACAGTATAAATGAGTTTATGCAGCTGTTCCCACACATACTCCGACACTGAAGAAAAAGAATGTTACACTTTAATACTATGATGTTGCAAAAGCTCCAGAGGTGGAACAGCCTGACATCCTCTCTGCAGACTGGGTGTGGTACAAGTAGCTACAGTATATTTTAATGGAACAGGTTAATTACACAAATAACTATTAATTCAAATATGCATCGTATATAATAGTATAACAGAGCACATCTCAGTAATGAAACAGATTCCAAATAATAATCCAAACACACTAATTCAACCCACCCAGAAATAAGATCCACACCCTTTGAAGATACTCTTAAATATCTAGAGTCGCTCTGTGTAGCTACATGTTGGCACAGTAGTGCTCTGAGCTACCCTTACTGTCCACCCCTAGGTCCACCCTTACTACTTCTATAGGGAATAAGAGGTTAAGCAGCAGCCAGGTGCTGATGATCAAATAGACTTGACTCATCAGCACCTTTCAGGACCTCTATAAAAGCAGAAATGCTAGCAGTTTGCTGGTCTGGAGCCTTCATGTGTGCATTAACAACATGTCCCAATCGTCCCATGAGTGGATGTCCCAGCAAATTCACCCCAAGGTCAGACAATGCAATTTTCAGAGAAACAAAACCCTAAAAGCTACATCTAAGACTTTACTGGCCTCAGTTAGCATGTTAAATGTTAAAGTTCAAGACAGCATACTTAGACAAAGCCCCTCCCCTCTCCCTCTAAATAAAACAAACAAACAAAAAGAAAAACATGGCAGCACAGCTAGCTTCACAAAGTTGCATTAGAACAAACCACAAAACCTCTGTAACAATGTCCTTTGGACAGACAGGACAAAAGTGAAATGAGATGTTTAGCCAGAATGCACAGTGTCACTTTTGCTGAAAATGAAACACAGCATAGTGGCATAAATACCTTATGCCAGCTGTCTAGCACGGTGGTGGTGGCATGATGATTTGGGCTTGTTTTGCATCCACAGGATCTGGACACCTCACAGTTATTGCACTGATCATAAACTCATCTTTATACTAAATTATTATGCAGTCAAATGTGAGGCTATCTGTCTGACAGCAAAAATGGGTTGTGCAAAAGGATAATGATCTCAAAACACCAGATCATCAAACCTACAAAGGAATGTTTGAAAAAGGAAAGAACTGTTGCCATGGCCTTCAAAGGAAAAAAGTTTGGCAGAATCTTAAAGGAACTGTTTGCAACCTAAATGTAAAGTAATAGTGGGCAACTATGTGAGAGACAAAAAATGATTACTTTAAGTTATCTAAGGAGCTTGGAAAGAAAAGAGACTTAACTTCTTGAAGTTTCTTGACAACGTTTCACCTTTCATCCAAGAAGCTTCTTCAGTTCCTCCTTCTAATGGAGCTTCTATGGGTCCTGAATAATATGGTGTACCTAGCTTTTTATAGGATTGTAAAATATCTAGTGAAATTTGTGTTTCACATGTAAATGTGTAACACAATGAACAAAGCTATATTATATTGTTTAGAGTGTTTAAATTAATTAAATGACGAATTACATGCAATGTGGCAGATACACATCATCAGCTATATTTTCCCTTTAATTTCATATAAACTCAGGACCGGATAAAACCAGATATTTTTCCCCGTAACTAGGACAACAGAAGAAAACCACCACTAGCAGGACTGTTCTCCTTTTACATGTTGTAAACACTGTGAGGAAAGAGGGCACACAAAATATTTGCAGCTGTGTGGTCCATATTTGTGCTTTGTTTTCAACACCCTAGCAAAGTCAATCTTTTTGAATGCATATTTGTGGTCTGGACTAACGGCACTCAAAATAATCACAATGTAGTTTAATGTTATGTTTTACAAAAACTGACATTTTCAAATTTTAGGGAGGAAAATATACATAATCACAACAAGTCTTACTTTTTGAAATATACTAACAATCTCCTTGTGTTGTAAAAAATAAAAGCACTTATGAGTAAACAAAAGTTAACACTCACAGAGGTCTGCGTTTCAGATGTGCCAGCGAGCTGCTGGACTTTAAAGACTAAAAATATCCTGGAGAGGAAGCAGAGTGTCCATCCTATTCGTCTGTGTGTGTATTAAAGCCTAAATGTGATATTACACTTCCTTTCTGCAACCAAGACTTGCTGCAGTGTTTAAAAATATTCAACACAGACATACTTCTGGTACTTCAGTCTTTGCAAGCATGGGCTCATGCAGTCTGGTTGTTTACTGAGCAGATCAACATTCAAATCATATCATCAGTTCATTTTTTATTACGTTAAGTTAACTTAACTTAAGTTACTAATGTAGTCAGTGACAGCACAATGACTGGCAAAGCAGCACAATGTTCCACACTGCTACTAATGGGCTTTTCCAAGAATTTTTACTTTAAAGTCGTAGCTTTACAAAGGCTGCACTGGAGCAACGGCAAAAAAAAAAGAAAGAAAAGAAAAGAAAGTAAGAATAAAAGTTACTTTTAAAAAATCTAACTGTATTCACAGTCTCTTTGTAATGTTGTGCATTGTACTGGGAGACATACACCCCAAAAAATAACAAGATGATGATGGGAGAGGGTGGGGGAGTGTGACAGCATGGGAAAAGTGTGGTTTAAGAAAACTGCTTTCTTCCAATTCTTTCAGGATGATGTCAAGTTGCAGGAACTTCAAAACAAAGCACAAAGCTTTCAAAGTTACACACCACACCTGCAAACAGCTTGTTTTCTGCACCTGAGGTAAGGTGTGAGTCGGGGTTGAAGTGGTTGAAATGTTAAGACTGCATTGCAGGAGGCAGAGAGCTGGTGTTGTAAGCCACCACCTCTGTTCCATGATGAACTCACTTCTTGCCTCGGGTGACCTCAGTAGGTCACATGATAGGCTGGGGAAAGGTAAAATGTCAAAATCGCTAGCGATTTTTCCAGTCAGGCTACTAAAATCCATCTCAGCCCTGCCGGTCGGGCTATCATAGGAAGGAAAAATATGTCAGTGCTTTTGCATTCTTTCGCAAACGTAGCTGGGCAATTATGGCATTGGCATCGATGAGCCTCTTTCAATATGTCACGTATTGAAATCGCGTTTGAATTTGTGCTTGTTTTTTGCTTTCACTTTCATTTTACAATAGCACAAACTGTGTATAAAGAGCGGCAGTACTGATTGGTGAGTGACGATTAATGGAGGTGAAATGGAGGGCAATGCACAGGAAGAGAAAGCTGATGAAGGAGATGCTATGCCCTCAACGTCGAGTGTCATTTTCTCATCTGTGACTTCAGTGGAAATTTCAGATTGAGGATCTGACACAGACTGATTCATGTTCTACAAAGTTCTTACAAGTTCACAGAAACTTCTGTTCAATTAGAACCAAATATTTGAGTTGATGATTCTAATTTTTATACAGTTGTTGTAATTTGTGTATTAACAAATTTTTTTTTGATTGATGTTTTGTTTCATTTATTTAAAAATTATCTTATTTTTTATTTGGGCTACTAAAATTTATTTTGGGCTACCAAAATCTGAAGAATGCCTGCCCAAAGGGCTACCAGGAATTTTGAAATTTTGCGGGCCCTGTATATGATTGTGAATGAACTTTGAGGGATGTTTTGTATGTGTTTTGATGTAAACTCCCATGTATTTTGTCAATAAAAGGCATTAAAAAAAAAAAAAGAAAGGAGAAAAAAAAGGTCTCACAGCCGTTTCAACCTCATGCCATGCTCCAGATACCTCGGAACTTGGGAGTGTCATTAAGGCTGGGTATCGATTTCGATTTCTATACTCGATTCGATTCCGATCCACAAGGTTTTATTCGATTTTGACTCAGACAGTCAGAAATATTATAATTCTGATCATTTATGAGTACATATCCATATTTTTATGTCTGTGTATAACAACAAAGATGACACTTGTGAGACTTCATCAGAGGTGCAAGCATCACAGCAGATGCCTTTGTGTTAAAATAACTGAGGATAAAACACAGAAAAACATGAAGGAAATTTTTCTTCCCTGGCTTTTTATAGCAGATAACCTGAAAATATTTTGCAGTAGATCAAAAACTGAAGAAAACCATGACTCAACATATGAACATTACCTGATGCTGCTGACGTGAAGCAGAGCAAAGTTACAGAGGTTTAATTAGAGACACAGCTAAGTGTTTTGAATAATTTTAAAAAGTTTATATTTCTTCGGTATTGAACAGCAGAAATGAGGCTTTCTTGTTAGAGGTCATTTTAAAAAAACAAACAAAAGAAAAACAACGACTGACAGCACCTTCGTCCATGTGACGACTCATATGACAGAGGGTAGGGTTGTGCCATATGACGAAAATCTCATCTCCCGATATAAAACATTTATCGTCCTGACAACGATATAAATCACAAAAATGTAATATTTTCTGTAAATTCTGTTAATCTCAGGCAACTCAACTTGCGTGAAGTTTTTACAGCTGGGCGTCCTTTACCTGCATTCGAGTGTTTTAACCGATGCATGACACTATACGTTTTTAGTAGGGGTGCAACGATACACAAAATTCACGGTTCGGTTCGATACTTTGGTGTCACGGTTCGATATTTTTTCGATACAAAAAAATGTTCATGCCTTTTTAATTTGTCATGTATTAAAATTATAAATATATATTTGAACTCAAAAGTACAGTTTTTAAATTTAATGTTGCTGAAACAACAACAACAACAAAAAGTGATTTCTCGATCAGATAGATCGAGGAATCACTCATCGTTGGAAAAGAGAGTTTATTACAGAGAAATGTCTCTTTCCAAAATAAAAGCTATACTATCCGCTTCTTCTGGGTTATATTCTCAGCAGAATATTAAACATATCAGGTACCCATAAGGAGAATCATGTGCTAACGGCTGTCTAAATGACTCGGGTAAAGTTTGTAGCATGCGTGCTTGTTGTTTTTGTCTGCTTCCACTTGTCTTTGCACTAGGATGATGTCGGCGTAAATGTGCAGTCGTTGTGTTCCCACTAGTGCTGTCAGCGTTAATCTCGTTAAAATGACGTTAACGCCATAACGTGGCAAATCTCCATTAGTGAGTTACCGTGGCTCGCGCCGTGCGTGGGGCTGGACGGCGTCAACACGTTAACGAGCTAACTGGGCTAACGCACTAGTTCCCACCAATGTAATTGAGCATTGCGTGGCACATCCGACATACTGGTTTACTTTTGTCCATCAGGGTCATACTTCACATGAAAACCAAAATAGTTCCAAACGCCAGATCTGAATGAGGGTGGGGGAGGTTCAATTTCAGGTAGCGTTGAGGCAGTTGCCATGTTGCAACGAGCTTAGCTTCTGTCTTGCTAGCTTGCGCTGCGCTCAGTGGATCTGCGCTCGACAGTGCAGCCTAGGCGGAGTAGTCGAACGCAGATCCACTGAGCGCTCAACACAGACAGCATCGTCAGAAGAAAAGTTGATAAAATAAATTACAAATTTTGTACCGAACCGAAAGCACTGTATCAAACGGTTCAATATCGATACGAGTATCGTTGCACCCCTAGTTTTTAGACATACGTTGTAACGGCCACCATTTGAGTCTAAGGTTTATTTTTTAGCACCTGACGGCTCTTTTTTTCCTTCTCATTTGTAAACTCTTGCATACTCTTTAACGTGATTCAGTTTTTTTTGAAAAGTCTCAACAGGATCTTAAGCTTAAACAAACAAGCGGACGTAAAAACAGTCGCTTGTCCGTCCGTAGTGTGGTTATATTAAATATAAGAGAAAGAGAGAAGTTTAAGAGATTAATATAGCCACTACAGTGACCATCAAAACGATGAAAAAATATTGCTGTAAACAGTTTATTTTACGACACCACAAAACAAACGATAGCGTAACAGGAAATGATAGACGTTTTTATATCGTCATCCAATATATATCGTCATATCAAACCGCTCCAACAGCGGTCATATGAGTCAATGGCCCGCAGGAACATATCCAAAGGGGACAATCAACCATTAGTATTGAAATACCTGGGACACCAATTTGTTTTTGTAGCTGAAGAAGCCTCTTGGATGACAGGGGAAACTTCTTTACAAACCTAAAGATGTCCAGTCACCTCCTTGTGTTCAAGCTTTCAAGGCTACCATGACCTAGAAGCCTGAGAACCTGCTAGTTTATTTGACTGACACCTCTTCTCCTACCCTGCACAAACCAAACCAGGGGAGAGGTGGGAACTAGAGTGTCTTCAAAAAAATACAACAAACACTTAACCTTTGAGATGTAGAGTCACAAAACATTTCAGGCCGCCTTCACTTGCAGAGTGTGACAGATATGATACAATGAAGAGAGTGGCGAAACCTTGACCTTTAAAGGCAGAGAACAGCACAGTTTGTGAAGATCAACATAAGCCGAGTGTATCAAAGGTTTACAGTTAACTAACAGTTCACTGAACATCAGCTGTGTGAGACACTTGGCAAAATGATCACCCTGCAGCATTGTTGGCACATCACACAAACACGGACACACACCTGCATTGACCCCAGGCAGCAGTACAACAGCTCAGATGGGCCGAACACTGAAAGCGCTACCACCCAAAGCTGACACACAATAGCAGAGTCTGCCCACATTAAAGGACAATAACACTGCTTTATTTATGCTCTGTCACTCTCATTCAGTCTGATGCTGTGTTCAGAGTGCGGAGCCTCAAATCTGACAGGAGCCACACGCACTCACAGGTCCTTCTGTCTTTGTGAGGACACTGATATAATGCGTTACCTACGGCTTCTCTTTAGTTGTCACAACTAATTACAACACCCTAACCCATAAGGACAAGGTTATGGTCTCTCAGAACTAGTTTTCCCACGTATTGTGCAAGACGCACAGAACTGTACAACTGTGCATTCGTTTTTTCACTTTTTTTGTCAAATTCTCATGAGGGTAGAAGAAGCAGAATAAAAAGACAAAATCAAACTGATCTCAAACCATGTACATCTGTCAAATGGCTTCACCCACAATGACAAACAGTAAGAAAGAAATGCACAATGTCTTACTCCTTACCTTCCCACAGCATTAAGTGCATCTGAATATCATATAACGATGTTGCTCTGACCAGCAGAGGCACTACTGAGTATAAACAGCACGCTCCTGCTGTGGCGCCCTCTTTGCCAATATAAAGAATTCTGGATGTAATTTTTACATAACTTAAAACACTATACACTGTATATTTATTGTATTTTAGCATATGAGAGAAAAGGAACCACTGTATCAGGAACCTTTTAGAAATCAAAGCATGCAGCTCAACAGTTGTGATGCAGCATCAGTGAGTGTAAAACTCCATCTGTCTGAAGAAAGTATTTAAAATATGCTAAAATTATGCAGCATCACATTATTCTACTGCATTTATGCAAAAACACAGAGTGTTGTTTAATACCTAGTTAATGGGTTTGATGTTCATAAAACAGAGGTTTCACTCCCTCAGTCCCTGCTGCAGAAAATGTTCCCATATCGTAAAACAGCAGTGACACCAAGTGTGTCGATGTGTGTACCTGAGGTTTAAGGAGGTGAGCGACTGCAGGCTGATGATGCTGTCTGGGATGGACCTGATGCAGTTGTGGTACAAGTTTAGTGTTTCCAAGGCAACCAGATGGCATACCTCTGAGGGGACGTCGGTTAGTCGGTTTTTTGACAGGTCTGCAATGGAAACCAAGAAAAACAACGTTTAGAACAATTAAAGGGCACATTGTAATAATAAAAGATGCAAAGGTAGCAATTTGAGTAGTAGTTGAATGAAATATTAAACATTTTAAAAAACAAAAACAAACTTTGACATCTGGTGTGTTAATTGTAATAAAAATCAAAAATAAGTTGAAAGACAGGTAGCACCACAGACTCATATAAAGGTCTGAAAATGAATCCAATGTGTCCTTTTTCTTATGTAAAAATCAGAGGAGTGGCTCTTTAAACGGTCTGACTGGATGGAAGTCTGAGAAAACAGTTTACCTCCTCCATAAACTTAGTAGGCATAGCCCAAGTTGCTAGTTTGAATTGGTTTTCAGTTCGGCCCTGAGTACAATAGATGGTGATGCCATGTTTTAAGACATGGCATGCATACAGTGGGGCAAAAAAGTATTTAGTCAGCCACCGATTGTGCAAGTTCCCCCACTTAAAATGATGACAGAGGTCAGTAATTTGCACCAGAGGTACACTTCAAATCCATGAATCCACATGGTAGGATTTGTAAAGAATTTATTCGTAAATCAGGGTGGAAAATAAGTATTTGGTCAATAACAAAAATACAACTCAATACTTTGTAACATAACCTTTGTTGGCAATAACAGAGGTCAAACGTTTACTATAGGTCTTTACCAGGTTTGCACACACAGTAGCTGGTATTTTGGCCCATTCCTCCATGCAGATCTTCTCGAGAGCAGTTATGTTTTGGGGCTGTCGCCGAGCAACACGGACTTTCAACTCCCGCCACAGATTTTCTATGGGGTTGAGGTCTGGAGACTGGCTAGGCCACTCCAGGACTTTCAAATGCTTCTTACGGAGCCACTCCTTTGTTGCCCGGGCGGTGTGTTTTGGATCATTGTCATGTTGGAAGACCCAGCCTCGTTTCATCTTCAAAGTTCTCACTGATGGAAGGAGGTTTTGGCTCAAAATCTCACGATACATGGCCCCATTCATTCTGTCCTTAACACGGATCAGTCGTCCTGTCCCCTTGGCAGAAAAACAGCCCCATAGCATGATGTTTCCACCCCCATGCTTCACAGTAGGTATGGTGTTCTTGGGATGCAACTCAGTATTCTTCTTCCTCCAAACACGACGAGTTGAGTTTATACCAAAAGTTCTACTTTGGTTTCATCTGACCACATGACATTCTCCCAATCCTCTGCTGTATCATCCATGTGCTCTCTGGCAAACTTCAGACGGGCCTGGACATGCACTGGCTTTAGCAGCGGAACACGTCTGGCACTGCGGGATTTGATTCCCTGCCGTTGTAGTGTGTTACTGATGGTGACCTTTGTTACTTTGGTCCCAGCTCTCTGCAGGTCATTCACCAGGTCCCCCCGTGTGGTTCTGGGATCTTTGCTCACCGTTCTCATGATCATTTTGACCCCACGGGATGAGATCTTGCGTGGAGCCCCAGATCGAGGGAGATTATCAGTGGTCTTGTATGTCTTCCATTTTCTGATGATTGCTCCCACAGTTGATTTTTTCACACCAAGCTGCTTGCCTATTGTAGATTCACTCTTCCCAGTCTGGTGCAGGTCTACAATACTTTTCCTGGTGTCCTTCGAAAGCTCTTTGGTCTTGGCCATGGCGGAGTTTGGAGTCTGACTGTTTGAGGCTGTGGACAGGTGTCTTTTATACAGATGATGAGTTCAAACAGGTGCCATTCATACAGGTAACGAGTGGGGGACAGAAAAGCTTCTTACAGAAGACGTTACAGGTCTGTGAGAGCCAGAGATTTTCCTTGTTTGAGGTGACCAAATACTTATTTTCCACCCTAATTTACGAATAAATTCTTTACAAATCCTACCATGTGAATTCATGGATTTTTTTTTCACATTCTGTCTCTCACAGTTGAAGTGTACCTCTGGTGCAAATTACTGACCTCTGTCATCATTTTAAGTGGGGGAACTTGCACAATCGGTGGCTGACTAAATACTTTTTTGCCCCACTGTAGTGACTTGAGGTTCTTAGTCAGTTCCTCCCTAAATTTGTTGTGTAGTTTCAAAGGGCCAAGACTGCGACAGCCCAAACAGTCCACAAATCAATGGGTGACCTCATAATGCCTCCATCAATTTTTTTTATACACTGTAGTTTTCATTAAAAATATGGTAACCTGATTTAACATATACATAACTCATACAGTCCTCAATTTTGATTAAATACAGTGACTTATTTGATGACAGAAGGATAACCCGGGCTGTGTTTTATTTTCTGTTGGTGTTAAAGTCTAGGTAAAACATTGCTCATAAGGTAATTAAATATATTTCAGTACGATATAAAACTTTGTAATCACTCTCGTCGGAGCTGGACCTACAACAATTTGCTGTAATGCACTATACACCTATTTGCACACCCAACAATAACACATGCATTAAGATTTCTCGCTCCGTTTATTGTACAACATGCAGATTTTGGACTAAATTCTCTCTTTCCTTGTAACATGGAGCACCACAGACACGCCAGCAGAGGACCGTGAATCTGAGGTACGACTGACGTCAGACTCAAGGAACTCAGCATTTGACATGAGGACTCAGGTCAGCTGCTCAAGCCAGGACTGTTGACATCACTTCCTGCCGTAACTCAGCAACAATAATATCAACTTCAGTTATCAGCAACCCAGTAAGGCCAAGAAATGTCAGTGCAATTATTCCACATTGTTCTGCCAAGGCTGAACTCTGAGCCTCTTGAAAAACACATTTTGTTTTGTTAATGGTGCAAGAACAGCACAAGAGTTCATTTCCTCTGGTGGAAACAATTGGGGAAAAGTCATGTTGTACTTTTGTATTCAGTATTTATAGTCACGGTTTTCAATTAATATCCAGCAAGACTATGAGCAGAGACCTCGTTGCTATTTTTTTTGTTATACTAATGTTCCAGAGTTATGGAACAAGAGAGGTACTGCCTAACAACCAGGAGTAATCCGGAATTCTTTTATTTGATATTAAACAGGCCAAAGCAACAAATCATCTCACAGCAGTTGTGTTTTTTATTTGTAGAGGGAGCTGAACTGGTTGCAGAAAGTGTCACATTACATATAATATAGCTAATATAGCAATTAGCTTCTGCCAATGCCATGCTAATGTTGCTAAGATGGTGTGGGCCATTTTTCAACCAGTGACAGCTGGGATAGGCTCCACCTCCTCCAAGCCTAAGCTGGAAGACCAGGTAAGAAATATGCAGAAAAATGCAGTAACAAAACCATGACCTTCACACAAATTCTGTCCCTTGACTTAACTATGATGACACACAGGAACAGATATATATATTTTTCCATCATAAAAATGTCTACAAAAATAAATGACAATGAAAATAGGGCACTTTTACTGAATGTGCTTTGTAAGCTGGTGAATAGTACAAACACCAAACTGTACAAACAGCTCCTCTGAGGCACAAGTGCAGCAGGCTTTCATCAATTTAAAAAACAAAGAGAAAAAAAGAAAATCACATCTGCATCTGGGCATCAGCCACACGTAGAACGCATTGCATCATGGATCACACATTAACAGGAAGTGCTATTTAAAACACTGAACGAGAAACAAAGAGCCCGCCGGTCCTGCTTTCATCCGGCGAGCAAACGGCAGCAAGCTGACTCAACTCACAACAACACAAAGCTATTACTGGCAGGGCGTATGTGTGAGTGTGAGCGTAAGGTGCGTTCAACACCGTTAATGCTCTTATTAATCTCCAAAACAACACTGTGGAAACTGTAATGCGTTCAAAGCAGCAGTGACCTACTATAAACCACGAGACACACAGGGACAGATTAAGGACATGTCGATCCTACAGACACACATCTGTCAAGATACATTGGCCTGTATCTATATGTGAGGCCATGTAAGGTGACACAAGTGATGATGCAGGCCTCAGGACATTTAGTCCATGACATACATAGATCTTCTTTTCACTCATATCAGCAATACCAGCGCTCAGGCCTGACTGAGTTTTTACACAGACGCACCTGTGACCGTTTCTGAAGTTTCGTGTTTTGTTGATGGCACCTGTTAAAATCCTACACTTGGATGGATGGACGTGGCACTATGGCAACAACATATTTTAGGGATGCAGCGAATTGTTGTTTGGATTGGACATCTGTGCAATATTGAGTGAAAAGGCAGGATCCAGTATCACTGACAATGGGCTTATTTCTGGGGATGATCCATCCAGTTCATTCAATTGACTTTACAAAGTTCATGACTGATATTTAAGGAGCCACTGTGTGACTGAGGGTGATGAGAGTTTTTCTACTGTAGATACCCTTTTTAAGAAAAGAAAAGAAAGCAAATAAGTTTCAAACTTCAGCTGCAGTTATTACTTGCGTTTTGATGTAAGAAGAAAGAAAATGTTAAACATGGTAACTCAGGTATGATGTGAACGTAGCTTGAGGCTACAACTAAACCAGTAAGGGCGTAAAGGCGAAACCTGCTGTTTAAATGTAGTCCTTTTCAGCCATACATCTTTTTTTAAGCCCTCTGACATCAATTTTCCCACACTTTTGTATGTTGCATTTTATTCAAGGTTTAATGCCTAATGAACCATTTTAAACAATCTCCATCCCGAGGCCCTGATGCTGCTAAACAATAACAAGGTACTCCCAGTCAACTGCAAATTTAAGCTCTGGATTAGTTTCACAAGAACCCATTACAGAGCCATTAGATAGTTAATCCTGTTTATGGGGGTATTCCTAAAAGCTACAAGTCTTCATGCTGTAAATACAAAACGCACACACGCCACACCCTGAAAAGCAGGCGTGGGGCTTCCTGTGTTAATAACAACACTCTCCCTCTCATATGAAAAAGGAAATGACCTATTGCTGCCACTGTGTGACCTCTGACTTAAGAAGAAGAAAGAGAAGAAGCCTGCTGCAGGAACACAATGACTTTACTTCGCCTAAACTTGATTCAGCATCTTTTTAAGATGTGAAACAACACATGTGTATTTTTCTCCCATTCACTGTC